GGCAAAGGATCTGAACACATATGAACATGGTCAATACACTCATGTAAAGATGCCCAATTTCAGGCCAGGTGCGGGGCTCACTCCTGTAATTCTAGCACTTTGGGAGGCCAAGGTGGGCAGATCACCAGGTCAAGAGTTGGAGACTAGCCTGGCCAACATGGTGAAACCCCGTCCCTACTAAATATACAAAAATGATCTGGGCGTGGCAGCGCACACCTGTGGCCCCAGCTACTCAGGAGGCTGAGGCAGGAGAATCACTTGAACCTGGGAGGCAGAGATTGCAGTGAGCTGAGATCGCACCACTGCACTCCAGCCTGGGCGGCAGAGCAAGACTCCGTCTCAAGACAAACAAACCAAAAGAAATTCTACCATTTTTTTTTTTTTTTGAGATGGAGTCTTGCTCTGTCACCCAGGCTGGAGTGCAGTGGCACGATCTTGTCTCATTTCAGCTTCTGCCTCTGGGTTCAAGTGACTCTCCTGCCTCAGCCTTCCCAGTAGCTGGGATTACAAGCTCATGTCACCACACCCAGCTAATTTTGGTATTTGTAGTAGAGATGGGGGTTTCACCATGTTGGCTTCGAACTCCTAACCTCAGGTGATCCACCAGCCTTGGCTTCCCAGAGTGCTGGGATTACAGGCGTGAGCCACCGCGCCCGGCTGCAGAGTCCTTTTTATACCATGTAAAAAGACACATTCCACGGTTCGGGGGATTCGGATGTGGATGTCTTGGAGTGGGTTGGGAGGTCTTTATTTCCCACCAGCCACGTCTGTTGTGTTGCAGTGGTTCAGTGACACGATCGTGGTGGTGGCACAAAAACTACAGGGATATAGAATTATCTAGAACTTGGCCGGGCGCGGTGGCTCACGCCTGTAATCCCAGCACTTTGGGAGGCCAGGGCGGGTGGATCACGAGGTCAACAGATCGAGACCATCCTGGTCAACATGGTGAAACCCCGTCTCTACTAAAAATACAAAAATTAGCTGGGTATGGTGGCGCGTGCCTGTAATCCCAGCTACTCGGGAGGCTGAGGCAGGAGAATTGCCTGAACCCAGGAGGCGGAGGTTGTGGTGAGCCGAGATCGCGCCATTGCACTCCAGCCTGGGTAACAAGAGCGAAACTCCGTCTCAAAAAATAAATAAATAAAAGAATTGCCTAGAACTTAATACACACACACCTACACGCATACCAACAAGAACAAGTAAAACTGGGGACCTCTGCTTAGATGGGTGGATTGTATCAAGGCTATATCCTGGTAATGCTATGCACCAGTGTTTTTCTTGTTTGAGATGGAGTCCCGTTCTGTCACCCAGGCAGGAGTGCAGTGGTGCGATCTCGGCTCACTGCAACCTCCGCCTCCCATGTTCAAGCGATTCTCCTGCCTCAGCCTCCCAAGTAGCTGGGATTACAGGTGCCCACTACCATGCCCTGCTAATATTTGTATTTTTAGTAGAGATGGGGTTTCACCATGTTGGCCAGGCTGGTCTCAAACTACTGACCTCAGGTGATGTGCCCACCTTGGCTAGGCACCAGTGTTTTGCAAGATGTTGCCATGGGGGAAAGCAAGTAAAGGATACCCTTGGTCTCTCTGTATTATTCTTACAACTGCGTAGAATCTACCATAGTTCCGGTAAGGTGCGGTGGCTCATGCCTGTAATCCAAGCATTTTGGGAGGCCGAGGCAGACAAATCATGAGGTCAGGAGTTTGAGACTAGCCTGGCCAACATCGTAAAACCTCATCTCTACTAAAAATACAAAAATGACCCAGGTGTGGTGGCACGCACCTGTAATCCCAGCTATTTGGGAGGCTAAGGCAGGAGAATTGCTTGAACCAGAGAGGCAGAGGTTGCAGTGAGCCAAGATCGCACCACTGCACTCCAGACTGGGCAACAGAGCAAGGCTCTGTCTCAAAAAAAAGACACAAAAAAACAAAACACAGAGAAACACAGGGGCCAAGGCCAGGTGATGACAGAGACCGAGATTGCAGTGACAGAGCCATAAGCCAAGCAACACCAGGGACTGCTGGCCACCCCAAAAGCTGGAAGAGGTGTGAAGGATCCTCCCCTGGAAACTCCAGACAGGGCATAGCTCTGCACACACCTGGATTCCAGACTTCCGGCCCCCAGGGACTTGCTCAAGCCCAGAGGACCCACAGAGCAGAAGCCGCAGACGCCCAGGCTCAGCGCAGGTTCCTTCCTAATCAGTTTCTCTCAGGTCTGCGGCAATGCCGTGTTCGCTGACTGACACAGACCTTGCTTCCCGCTGGGGCTTCGTATCTGCTCCCTGCACCCGGGACTTATCTCCTCCCGTGGAGCATCCTTAGGCTGATCACACCTGGCACCCGGCCCTGTGGCCTTCCTGAGTCAGCACAGTCCCTGGCCCACGGGAAGTCCTCGGTAAACAGCCTGAGCCACAAACAGGATCGAGATGACGTCCTTGCAAGGTGTCTGAGGGCTGCAGTGATGCCTGGTATCTGCAGGCAGCTTTCAAACTCCTTGGAAGGCAATAAAAAATAAATTGGGGTGTCAGCTCCCTGAGGCCAGATACTGTGTCTGTCTGTTCTGTGTCCTCTGTGCCCAGGACACTGTCCAACATGCAGTGGTTGTTCAATGAGTATCTGTGCAACCAATGACAGAATGTTGTCTTAAACTAGAAGTTGGCCTTCCAAAGGGATTTCCTTGCTATGCACAGCATTTTATGTTTTATTTATTTATTTATTTCCCCCCCTTTTTTTTTTTTCAATAGAGACGCGGTTTCACCACGTTGGCCAGGCTGGTCTCGAACTCCTGATCTCGTGATCCACCCACCTCAGCTTTCCAAAGTGCTGGGATTACAGGCATGCGCCACCACACCCAACTAATACGGTTTTTTTTTTTTAATTAATTTTTCTTTTACTTTTTTTAAGATGGAGTCTTGCTCTGTTACCCAAGCTGGAGTGCAGTGGTGTGATCTCGGCTCTCTGCAACCTCTGCGTCCTGGGTTCAAGGGATACTTCTGCCTCAGCCTCCTGAGTAGCTGGGATTAAAGGCATCACACCTGGCTAATATATGTATTTTTAGTAGAAATGGGATTTCACTATGTTGGCCGGGCTGGTCTCGAACTCCTGACCTCAGGTGATCTGCCCACCTCGACCTCCCAAAGTGCTGGGATTACAGGCATGAGCCACTGCACATGGCCATTTTTTTTTTTTTTTTTGAGACAGGGTCTTGCTGTGTCACCCAGGCTAAAGTGCATTGGTGTGATCACAGCTCACTGAATCCTTGAACTCCTGGACTCAAGCCATCAAACCTTCTGACTAGCTGGGTGTTCAGGCATGAGCCACCACGCCCAGCTTTTTTTTTTTTTCTGAGATGGAGTCTCGCTCTGTTGCCCAGGCTGGAGTTCAGTGACAGGATCTTGGCTCACTGTAACCTCTGTCTCCCAGGTTCTAGTGATTCTCCTGCCTCAGCCTCCCTGGTAGCTGCGATCACAGGCATGCGCCACCACAGGCAGCCAAATTTATAAAAAAAAAAAAACTTTCTGCTGAGACAGGCTTACTATATTGCCCAGGCTGGTCTTGGAGTCTTGGGCTCAAGCCATTGTCCCACCCCAGCCTCTCGAAGTGCTGGGATTATAGGTGCAAGCCACTGTTTCTGGCAATTGCCCACTTTATGAAAATGAGAGATTGCAAGCAGGGCATGGTAGCTCACACCTGTAATCCCAGCACTTTGGGAAGCCAAGGCGGGTGCATCACCTGAGGTCCAGAGTTCGAGACTAGCCTGGCCAAGATGGCAAAACCCCCATCTCTACTAAAAATACAAAAATTAGCTGGGTGTGGTGTCTCATGACTGTAATCCCAGCTACTGGGGAGACTGAAGCAGGAGAATCTCTTGAACTCGGGAGGCGGAGGCGGAGGCGGACGTTGCAGTGAGCCAAGATGGTGACACTGCACTACACCCTGGGCCACAGAGCAAGCCTCTGTGTCAAAAAATAAAATAAAAGGCCGGGCGCGGTGGCTCACGCCTGTGATCCCAGCACTTTGGGAGGCCGAGGCAGGTGGATCACGAGGTCAACAGATCGAGACCATCCTGGTCAACATGGTGAAACCCCGTCTCTACTAAAAATACAAAAAATTAGCTGGGCATGGTGGCGCGTGCCTGTAGTCCCAGCTACTCGGGAGGCTGAGGCAGGAGAATTGCCTGAACCCAGGAGGCGGAGGTTGTGGTGAGCCGAGATCGCGCCATTGCACTCCAGCCTGGGTAACAAGAGCGAAACTCCGTCTCAAAAAAAAAAAAAAAAAAAAAAAAAAATTCAAAAAGGAAAAGAAAAGAAAAAGAAAAAAGATAAAAAGCTCCCGCTTTTCTTGTCTAGACAGCATTCGGGTGACAACCAGAGGGGCTTGGACCCCAACCCCCACGCAAGCAGTAAAGATGAGTGAGCTGATGGGATTCTGACTCCATTTCAGAGGCAGAGTCTACAGGACCGTGGTTGGATGGGATGAGGAGGTGAGAACAGTTGCTGTGGGGTCCACCTCTCCAGCTGCTCCTCTCGGAAGAACCCGGTACTCATCCCCGGTAGGATTGCTTCTCTCAATTTCCACATCCGATCCATCTATAAATCCTTTCACCTTCAAAATTAATCTGGCAGCTGCGCACTTCCGGTCTCTCTGCTTCTAACCTTGCTCATCTTCTGTTTACTTTCTTTTTTTTTTTTTTCTTTTTTTTTTTTGAGACGGAGTTTCGCTCTTGTTACCCAGGCTGGAGTGCAATGGCGCGATCTCAGCTCACCACAACCTCCGCCTCCTGGGTTCAGGCAATTCTCCTGCCTCAGCCTCCCGAGTAGCTGGGATTACAGGCACGCGCCACCATGCCCAGCGAATTTTTTGTATTTTTAGTAGAGACGGGGTTTCACCATGTTGACCAGGATGGTCTCGATCTCTTGACCTCGTGATCCACCCGCCTCGGCCTCCCAAAGTGTTGGGATTACAGGCTTGAGCCACCGTGCCCGGCCTTTTTTTTTTTGACAATAGTTTTGCTCTTGTCGCCCAGGCTGGAGTGCAATGGCACAAACTTGGCTCACTACAACCTCTGCCTCCGGGGTTCAAACAATTCTCCTTCCTCAGCCTCCCGAGTAGCTGGGATTACAGGTTCGCACCACCATACCTGGCCAATTTTTGTAGTTTTAGTAGAGGCGGGGTTTCACCATCTTGGCCAGGCTGGTTTCGAATTCCTGACCTCAAGTGATCCACCTGCCTCGACCGCCAAAAGTGTTGGGATTACAAGCGTGAGCCACCGCGCCTGGCCCCTTTAGGTCTTTCTTCAAATGTTACCACCTCAGACTCTGGCCACCCTTCCTAAAACTGCACCCACTCTACATACACCGCCCTTGGTTACCGAATGTTTTCTCTTTAAGTCTTTTTCACCATCTAATAGGTATTGCATTTATTTCTCGTATTATTTTGTCTCCCTGTATAACAACACTGTGAAGCGTACAAGGGTAAGGGCTGCAGGCTGACTTGTCCTCAACACCCGTTTACTATTTGTTACATAAATGAATGAATGAATGACATTTCTTTCTTTTTTAATTCCTTTCCCTGAGCCCATTGGCCACGCCTTTACAGTCTGACCACGCCTGGAAATACTGCGCATGCTCCGTTGCCAAACGGCGCAGGCTCTGCGCTGAATCGGCACAAACCATTCTCACTACTCGTACTGCGGTGGGGAGGTCGGAGATAATTTTTTCCCATGAAAGAACATAACGTTGCCCGTCTCCTTCCTCGAGGAATAAAGTAAGAATTCTGTTCCTGCGTTTGCGTGAGCTGTGGCACCAGCACCGACTGGGGCTTCCGGACCTCCTTCCCGCAGGGGAGCATCACACTGGGTCTCCCCCGGGGCTGCGTTGGTGCCGTCCGGCCCGGTCACGTGGGCGGCAAAATGCCCCCCCCCCCCCCCCCCCCGATCGCACTGCGCGTGCGGTGGCTGGTAAGGCGGCGGCGGCGGCGGCGCCTGCGGGAACGGAACGGGCCGAGGGGCCCTGAGTCTCCGGAGCTCGGTGAGGCGTCCCGGAGGCGGCGATCACGGTGCGGGGCCCGCGTCTGGCGGGCGGGCGGGCACCGGGGGCGCCTCGTTTGGAATCCGGTCTCAGGGATTCGTTGGCTGTGGATGGGGTGGGTTAAGGGGTCCCGAGTCCGGGTGATCTCTTTCCTCTGGGGTGTTTTACATTAAATACTGCCAGCCTCACGTCCTGAAGCTCCTATGTCGTACTGTTGGGTCTCGATGGTCCCCATCGCCCTGCCAGCTCGCAGAGTCCTGGCTTCTGAGGTCAGCGATGACCCGTCTTTCAAGGTGTCACTCTCCTTAGGTGGCTTCACCTCCCTCTTTAAGCCCAGGCAGCCTTGCTGACGCCACTGTTGACCAGAGAGGGCTGCCGGCAAGCAGTAGCCTGCCTCTCCTGAGATGAAGCCTTCGCCAATCTGGAGGACAGAGAGGGGTCCCTTCTCCATGCGCTGGTTCTGTTCTTCCATCCTAAGTCATTCAACAAAGTGTTGGTGGTTTAGAGCCTGACTCTAGAGTCGGACTTCCTGGCTTCCTAACTCTTCACGCTGTTCCCAAGCACAGTCCCAAGCTGCCTCAGTTTCCTCACCTGTAAAATTGGGACAATCTTAGTACCTACCTCATAGGGTAGTGATGTGGATCGAATGAATGAATGAATGTAAATGGCTTGGAGTGCCTGCCTGGTGCATAGCAAATGCTACCTAGGTGTCAGCTGCTACTGCCACGAATTCCTTCCTTGTCATGCCTGAAGGCCCAGGGAAGGCCTGGGCAAAACTCGTGGTAGGCTTTTGTTACATTCCAGCCTTTTGTATGAGGGCACTGGCTCTTTTCGGTTTTATTTTTTAATTATTATTATTTTTTGAGACGGAGTCTTGCTCTGTCGCCCAGGCTGGAGTGCAGTGGCACCGTCTCAGCTCACTGCAACCTCCCTCTCCCGGGTTCAGGCGATTCTCCTGTCTCAGCCTCCCGAGTAGCTGGGACTACAGGTGCCCGCCACCACGCCTGGATAATTTTTGCATTTTTAGTAGAGGTGGATTTCACCATATTGGCCAGGCTGGTCTCAAACTCCTGACTTCATGATCCACCCACCTTGGCCTCCCAAAGTGCTGGGATTACGGGTGTGAGCCACTGTGCCCAGCCTATTTTTATTATTTATTTATTTAATTTAATTAATTCATTTATTTTTGAGGAGGAGTCTCGCTCTGTCGCCCAGGCTGGAGTGCAGTGGCGCGATCTCGGCTCACTGCAACCTCTGCCTCCCAGTTTCAAGCAATTCTCCTACCTCAGTTTCCTGAGTAGCTGGCATTACAGGCACGAGCCACCATGCCCAGCTAATTTGTGTATTTTTAGGAGATGGGGTTTCACCATGTTGGTCAGGCTGGTCTTGAACTCCTGATCTTGTCATCCGCCCACCTCAGCCTCCCAAAGTGCTGGGATTACAGGTGTGGGACACCAGGCCCAGCCTCTTTTAGCTTTTAACGTTTAACTTAACCACTCAGTCAGTGCTGAAACGGTTGTCATGCAGGCCTGCGTTAGTGAGACCTGGCCTGGCCTGCTACCTGGGGACATTTGGGGAAGAATATTCCTCATGGAGAGCACAGCAAATGCCAAGGGCCTAGGGCTGGACTGGGCCTGGAATGCTGGATAAACAGCACGGAGGCCCGTGTGGCTGGGAAGACGATGGGAGGTGGCCATGAAGGGCCTTTGGGACTGCCAAGGAGTTTAGAGTAGTGAGGAGGCACAGGAGGATTTTAAACTGGATCTTATGGTCCAGTTTACATAATGAAAGTGCTCGGCTGGGCGCGGTGGCTCAAGCCTGTAATCCCAGCACTTTGGGAGGCCGAGGCGGGTGGATCACGAGGTTAAGAGATCGAGACCATCCTGATCAACATGGCGAAACCCCGTCTCTACTAAAAATACAAAAAATTAGCCGGGCATGGTGGCGCGTGCCTGTAATCCCAGCTACTCAGGAGGCTGAGGCAGGAGAATTGTCTGAACCCAGGAGGCGGAGGTTGTGGTGAGCTGAGATGGCGCCATTGCACTCCAGCCTGGGTAACAAGAGAGAAACTCCGTCTCAAAAAAAAAAAACAAAAAGAAAGTGCTTCTGACTCTGTTATTGAAGCTGGGCAACAAAGCCCCACAATGGCTGGATGTGTGGCTGAGACCTGTAATCCCAGTGCTTTGGGAGGCTGTGGCAGGACCATCACCTGAGCCTGGGAGTTGGAGACCAGCCTGGGCAACATAGTGAAACACCGTCTCTACTAGAAACACAAAAATTAGCCGGGTGTGGTGGCAGGAGCCTGTAGTCCCAGCTACTTGGGAGGCTGAGGTGGGAGAATCGCTTGAACCTGGGAGGCAGAGGTTGCAGTGAGCCAAGACCACGTCACTGCACTCCAGCCTGGGCGACAGAGCAAGAATCCATTTCAAGAAAAAAAACAAAAGAACAACAACAAAAAACAAAACCGAACTTGGCCACGTTAAACAACAGTAAACAGGCCGGCGCAGCGGCTCATGCCTGTAATCCCAGCATTTTGGGAGGCCAGGCAGGCGGACCACGAGGTCAGGAGATCAAGACCATTCTGACTAACACGATGAAACCCTGTCTCTGCTAAAAAAATACAAAATATTAGCCAGGCATGGTGGCACATGCCTGTAGTCCCAGCTACTCAGGAGGCTGAGGCAGGAAAATTGCTTGAACCTGGGAGGCAGAGGTTTGCAGAAAGCCAAGATTGCACCATTGCACTCCAGCCTGGGCAACAAAGTGAGACTCTGTCTCAAAAAACAAACAAACAACATTGAACACGGTTGTGCACAGCTGCTCCGGGCCTGGCTTAGCTGGCTGGCTCTGGCTCTGGCCTCTGGTAAGGCTGCAGTGGAGACACTCTGGGGTTGCATCATCCGAAGGCTTGCCGGGGGCTGGATGAGCTGCTGCCAGCCCACTTCTCTCACGTGGCTGTTGGTGGGAGGGCTCAGTTTTTTTGTCCCGTGGGCCCCTACAAAAGGCTGCTTGAGCATCCTCACAACATGGAAGATCCTCACATCTTCCCCTAGAGAGAGAGCAAGGACGAGACTGTTGTGCCTTTTATACCTTAACCTTGGAAGTTCTGTGACCTGTTGGCATTCCCACAGGTCAGCCCTGTTCAGAGTGGGAGGGGGCTACATAAAGGCATGAATATTCGGTGGGGATCACTGGGGCCATATTGGGGGGTCAGCTGTCCTTCTGGCTGCCGTGTGGAGAGCAGGCAGTGGTGGTCATTTCTGGCAGGCCTGTGGGCAAGAGGCGGTACAGAGACTTTAGCCCAGAGAGGGAAAGCAATTTATGGAAGGCTGCACAGCTAATTGGTGGGGTTAGAGCTGGGCTTCCAACCCAGATGCGCAGGCGGGTCAGCGGGTAGGAAGTTGCCCTGCCCAGGTCCTAGGAACAAGCCAACAAGCTGGTGGAGGGGCCTCTAACCTGGACTGTCATTTTTCTGCCATAGATTCCTACACCTCCGTGTGCCCAGGTTTAGCCCGGGTTCTGGAAGGCTGGGGCCCACTGACAGCACGATGGTGACGGAGCAGGAGGTGGAGGCCATTGGGCGGATGCTGGTGGACCCCAAGCAGCCCCTGCACGCCCGCTTCCGGGCGCTGTTCACGCTACGTGGGCTTGGCGGCCCGGGTGCCATCGCCTGGATCAGCCAGGCCTTTGGTGACGATTCCGCCCTGCTCAAGCACGAGCTGGCCTACTGCCTGGGCCAGATGCAGGATGCCCGCGCCATCCCCGTGCTGGTGGCCGTGCTGCAGGACACCCGTCAGGAGCCCATGGTGCGCCATGAGGCAGGTGAGTGCCTGTCTGTGTCCCGGGCACCCGCCCCTTCCTGCCTCACCTCTTCATGACCCCACGTGTCCCTGTCCTCACTCGGGGACCTGATTAATTGTCAGGTTGGCCAACTGCCCCATAAAGCACCAGAGAGCTGCTCGATAAAGCTGGCGTGAGTCAAGTCGCCTGAGAGTGAACGGCTGAGGCTGCGTCCCAGACAACCTCAGTTGGGCTGGGGGTGGTGGCTCAGGCCTGTAATCCCAGCACTTTGGAAGGCCCAGGAGGGCGGATTGTTTGAGCTCAGGAGTTCAAGACCATCCTGGGCCACATGGCAAAACCCTGTCTCTTAAAAAAAAGTATAAAATTTAGCTGAGCATGGTGGCGCACACCTGTAGTCCCAGCTACTTGGGAGGCTGAGGCGGGAGAATCACTTGAGCCTGGGAAGTCAAGGTGGCAGTGAGCCGAGACCACGTCACTGCACTCCAGCCTGGGCGACGGAGTGAGATCATATCTGTAAAAAAAACAAAACAAACTTCTTTTCTAAATGCTGAGATTTGAATTTCATGTAAGTTCCACACGTCGGGAAGTATCATCCCTTTGGTTTTTTGTTTTAAACCATTTATTTGTTTGGAGTCAGAGTCTCGCTGTTGTTGCCCAGGCTGGAGGGCAATGGCGCCATCTCGGCTCACCTCAACCTCCGCCTTCTGGGTTCAGGCAATTCTCCTGCCTCAGCCTCCTGAGTAGCTGGGACTACAGGCATGCGCCACCACGCCCAGCTAATTTTGTATTTTTGGTAGAGACGGGGTTTCACCATGTTGACCAGGATGGTCTCGATCTCTTGACCTCGTGATCCACCCACCTTGGCCTCCCAAAGTGCTGAGATTACAGGCGTGAGCCACTGCACCCGGCTGGTTTTTTGTTTTAAACCATTTATTTGTTTGGAGTCAGAGTCTCGCTCTGTCACCCAGGCTGGAGTGCAGTGGCTCTGTCTCAGCTCACTGTAAACTCCACCTCCCGGTTTCAAGCGATTCTCCTGCCTCAGCGTCCCAAATAGCTGGCATTACAGGTGCTCGCCACCATGCTGGCTAATTTTTGTATTTTTAGTATTTTAGAGATGGGTTTTGCCATGTTGGCCAGGCTGGTCTTGAACTCCTGGCCTCAAGTGATCCACCTGCCTCCCAAAGTGCTAGGATTACAGGCGTGAGCCACTGTGCCGGCCTTAAACCATTAAAAGTCCCAAAAGCATTCTTCACTTGTATAAAAACTAACAAGCGACAAGCTGTAGATCCCCAACCCCTAATGTATGTTAGATCGACTCCACTCATTGGACACACATTTAGTGAGCACCTACTGTATGCCAGGCTGTGTCGCATATGTAAGAGACAAAATAGTGAAAACACAGATACAGGCCGGGCATCGTGGCTGTCGCCTGTGGTCCCAGCTACTCGGAAGGCTGAGGCAGGAGGATCCCTTGAGCCAGGGAGGTTGAGGCTGCACTGAGCTATGGTCGTGCCACGGCACTCGGACCTGGGCAACAGAGCGAGACCCTGTCCCAAGACTTACTGTTCTAGTAAGGGACCCAGACAGCACATGAGACCAATGAGTCAGACAGTGGGTGCGTCTGTGCCATGGGGACTGCGTTTCTGTAACCAGCGCGCTCACTCGCAATTCGTGTGTGGGAGGTGCCTGACACAGAGCGCGTTTTGGTGCACGCAAGACTTTTCCCAGCACAGGGAGCCTGCCAGGCAGGTGCTCAGATGCCAACTGCGACCTTCGGGAAAAGCAAAAGCCACCCGCGCAGCTGCCCCACAGGCAGAGCCCTTGAGCTTGGTTCTGAGAAAATCCAAGGAACCTCGGCGCCCAGGGCTCTGCAGAGAGCCTTGCTGCCACCTGGGCTTGCTAGGCCTGACTTGTGCCTGCACCTGAACCCACCCGTGTACCCTCAGTGGCCCTGAACTCTGGAGTCTCCAGCTGGCACCCTGGCCTGGTTTTTTTTTTTTTTTTAATTGAGACAGAGTTTTGCTCTCTTGTTGCCCAGGCTGAAGTGTAATGGCACAATCTCAGCTCGCAGCAACCTCTGCCCCCACCCCCCCTGCCCCCACCCCCACACCCACCCCCGGGTTCAAACCTGCCTCAGCCTCCAGAGTAGATGGGATTACAGGCATGTGCCACCACGTCCGGCTGATTTTTTTTATTTTGTATTTTTAGTAGACATGGGGTTTCTCCATGTTGGTCAGGCTGATCTCAAACTTACGACCTCAGGTGATCCACCCGCCTCGGCCTCCCAAAGTGCTGGGATTATAGGTGTGAGCCACCGCGCCCGGCCACCCCTGGCCTGTTACCGCCTTTTTTTTGAGACGGGGTTTCACTCTGTCGCCCATGCTGGAGTACAGTGGGGTGATCATAGCTCACTGCAACCCCGAGCTGTAGGGACATCCTGTGTCCCCGTCTCATGGCGCGGGGCCAGATGGGGTGTGTTTGCTCTGAGCGACAGGCTGGTGCGGTTCCAGGCTGTGCCTCGTGCTGGGGAGGGGATGCTGATTGGTCCAGCGGGGAGCCTGTACCCACTGCTGCTCCAATCAGCCATGGCCAGAGGCGGGGCTTCCCCGCAGGGGCAGAGCTGCGGGAGGGCTGTCCTCTGGTCCCACTGGTAGCTGGCCATTTCCCACACATCCCGCCACAACACCCAGCCCACCAACGTGACCTCTCTGGCTGCTTCTTTCCAGGGGAGGCCCTGGGGGCCATCGGGGACCCACAAGTTCTGGAGCTCCTGAAGCAGTATTCTTCGGACCCTGTCATCGAGGTAACCAGGCCCCTGTCTCCCTGCCTGCCTGGGTTCCTGGGGAGCCCCACCCTGCCCCGACCCTGGCCTGGAACAGCCTCACACCCTCCCCATCTCTGGTTGCCAGGGCAACCACTTGGCCAAGGATGCGGCAGGGATGAGGGAAGCCAGGGCGACAACCCAGATGGACACTTGCTGTGCCCCATTTGGCAAAACGGTGACAACCAGCTCTGCTCACGCGCTTCCATCCCGGGCTTTGAGCCCCTCAGCCGGCCTGAACCCCCACGTCCAGCCCCTCTGCCAAGACCCTTCTGAACCCACCCAGTGCTCTCTACCTCTGATACCTGGCACTGGCCCACCAGACCTCTTCAGGGGTCTCCTGCCTTCCGTCTCCTCGTCTTTCGAAGTAACGGCTTTATTGCAGGTGCTGTGGCTGACACCTGTAATCCCAGCACTTTGGGAGGCAGAGGCAGGTGGATCACCTGAGGTCACAAGTTTGAGACCAGTGTGGCCAAAACAGCGAGAGCCCATCTCTACTAAAAATACAAAAATTAGCCAGGCAAGGGGCAGGCACCTGTAATCCCAGCTACTGTGGAGACAGGCAGGAGAATTGCTTGTACCTGGGAGGTGGAGGTTGCAGTGAGCCGAGATCTCGCCATTGCACTCCAGCCTGGGTGACAGAGCGGGACCTCATCTCTGTAAAGAATGAAAGAATAAAATAAAGATTTGTTTCATTACATTTTTTCTTTATAGAGATGAGGTTCCGCTCTGTTGCCCAGGCTGCCTGCAGCTCCTGAGTGCAGGGGATCCTTCTGCCTCGGTCTCCCCAACTGCTGGGATTATGGGCATGAACCACTGTATCTGGCCCCATTGTTCCTTTTCGTGGCTGAGTCACATTCTATGGTGTGGACGGCCCACACTGTCGATCCACTCACCGTGGCTGGGTGCTTGGGTTGCCTCTGCTTTTTGGCTGTTGTGAGTCGTGCTGCTCTGGATGTGGGTGTGCACATGTTCGTGTGGACACGCATGTTCTTTTCTCCCGTCCGCCTCTCATCCACATCCCACCCCGAACCGCAGTCTCTCCTCCTCCCGGGCAGCAGAGGCATGTGTGACACTGAATTCTGCTCCTCTGTCCTGTGCTTCAAGCTCTCACGATGTCTCATCACCTTTAGGACGAAATCCCAAGTGCTCAGCGTGGCTGCAGGCCTTCCCTAGTCAGGCCCAGCCGCTGCCTGCCCCCCGGCCCTCAACCCTCCCGCAGGGTCCTACCTCAGGGCCTTTGCACTAGCAGCTTCCCCATTCCCGGGTCTCCACCTGACTCCCTCCCTCAGCTGGTCCTAGTCTCTGCCTCCACATCACCTCCTCCCTGAGGCCCTCCCCAGCCCCTCCAGCCTTCACTGGTCACTGGCAAGTCAGCCACCCCTGCTGGCTTACTTCCTGCCTGAACTGATCAGTTAGTTTCCCCTGTGGTGTCTCTCTCCCCTGCTAAGCTGCCATGGGAGGGTTGGGGGGACCAAAGGGCCCCTGTGGCCTCCCCAGGACCTACCGCTGTTCACGTGCCCCCTCCCTGCAGGTGGCCGAGACCTGCCAGCTGGCCGTGCGTAGGCTGGAGTGGCTGCAGCAGCATGGCGGGGAGCCGCCGGTGGGACCCTACCTCTCCGTGGACCCCGCCCCACCGGCTGAGGAGTGCGATGTGGGGCGCCTGCGGGAGGCGCTACTGGATGAGTCCCGGCCGCTGTTTGAGAGATACCGCGCCATGTTCGCCCTGCGCAATGTGGGAGGCGAGGCGGCCGCCCTGGCGCTGGCCGAGGGTGAGGAGGGGCTCCTAGGGTAGGGTCCTGGGTGGTGCCTCCCTGTGAAGCCCAGTGACGGCATCTGTGCCATGGGGCTGTGGACCCGTGCAGGTGTTCCTCACGGCCCCACAGCTTCGGTCAGTTCCCCTGGGCAGCCCTGATCACTGGGTCTAGGGGCAGGGGGTGTCCTCAGACCACCCAGGTTGGGCATGGTGGCTCACACCGATAGTCCCAGCACTTTGGGCAGCCAGGGTAGGAGTTTGAGACCTGCCTGGGCAACACAGCAAGACCCCACATCTTAATGAAAAGAGCTCTCCTTCCCTCTCCTCTCCCCTGCAGGCCTGCGCTGTGGGAGCGCCCTCTTCCGCCATGAGGTCGGCTATGTCCTGGGACAGCTGCAGCACGAGGCGGCGGTGCCCCAACTGGCAGCCGCCCTGGCCCACCACGCCGAGAACCCCATGGTGCGGCACGAGTGCGCGGAGGCCCTGGGCGCCATTGCCCGGCCCTCCTGCCTGGCCGCACTGCAGGCCCATGCGGGCGACCCTGAGCGCGTGGTACGCGAGAGCTGCGAGGTGGCTCTGGACATGTATGAACACGAGGCTGGGCTGGCCTTCCAGTACGCCGACGGCCTGGAGCAGCTGCGTGGGGCCCGCTCCTAGGCCCCTGCCCCCACCCTGGGCTCCCCGAGGACTCTTGAGGGCTGCTCCTCCCCAGAGGGCTTGGAGGGCTTTGGTGTTCAAACCGGGTGTGTGTCAATCGGGTGTCATCACGTGTCTTGCTGGGCGCATGGCTGCTGCCCCCTCCCTCCATCTGGGACCCAGGGGCTGCCTTTGCACTGTGACTCCCTGAATCCCCTGGCAGTTCCCGGGGGCCTAGCGCAGGGCTGTAGCATGGACGTTTCCAGGCTCAGAGGTGACTGTGGGAGGCTGAGGTGCCAGGCTCGGGACAGGGTGTCTTAGGAGGGAGGATTTTGAGGGAAGGCAGGGACAGAGCTGGGACTCTTGGAAGAGGCTGGCGGTAGTTATGGTGGCTCCAGGTTCACTAGGAATGGGGCACAGGGTCTGGGGGTCTCTGACCCCCCCCAGGCCTGGGCAGAGATGGGGTGCTGGTCCCTGAGTGGGTCAGGCAGGGCACAGGGTCCCGGGAGGGACGACGACACCCCAGAGTGCTGCCCAGATGGAGTATTAAATTATTTTTGCCAAGCAGTGACTCCTCCGTGTGTATTGTGTGAGGGGAGTATGGGAGGGACAGAGGGGTGGGCGCTCTCAGGGAACACTGCCCGAGAGCGTGTGGTGTTGGGGGGTTGTGGGGCTCTGCGATCTGTCCTGCCGCTGACCTGAGCATGAAACGGCAGGTGAAACGGGGGCAGGCCCGCCACAGCCAGCCACAGGCAGTTACCTGGTCACGTGGCCTGTCAGCTCCCTCCAAGGGGCTTTGGGGAAGCCGCCCTCCAGCCCGGCCCCCTTCTCAGACCCCCATCTTCCCTCTGCCCCTGCCGTCGGTGCCGAGGAAGGGGTTCTGTGGTGCAGCTGAGAGCCCAGCTGTGGCTGCCCCCGCCCGCTCCCCCAGCTCCTCCGCGTGCGGCGGGGACAGCTCACTTACCTCTCCGGAAAGTGGACACAGTGGTAGAATCACAGGTGCACAGCTGCTGATCTGCAGCCAGAGACCAAAACCAGAAGGCAGGAGGCAAAACGGGGCGGGGGGGGGGGGGTGGGAACGAGCGTCCACTGAGTGCCGCTTCCCCACTGCCGTTTCCGACCGTCCGCTAGGCGCTGGGTCCCGCCCCAGGCGTCAGTTTTGGCTGCCATGGGGTGGGGGGTGGCGTGTGCAGGGGGCATCCAGTCAGGTAGTCGGGAGGAGGCCGGGAATGCTGGAAGACACCCAACAGCACTCGGTCCCTGCAACAGACAATGACCCAGCCCCAGGTGAGCGCAGAGGTTGAGAAACGTGCCTGGAAGTCACAGGTTTGATTATAGGTTTTATTTTTATTTATTTGATTTTTTTTTTTTTTGAGACGGAGTTTCGCTCTTATCGCCCAGGCTGGCGCGCAGTGGCGCGATCTCCGTTCACTGCAACCTCCACCTCCTGGTTTCAAGTGATTCTCGTGCCTCCGCCTCACAAGTAGCTGGGATTACAGACGTGCACCATCACGCCTGGATAATTTATTTATTTATTTTTGTATTTTTAGTAGAGACGGGGTCTCTCTCACCATCTTGTCGGGCTGGTCTTGGACTCCTGACCTCAGGTGATCCACCCACCTCCGCCTCCCAAAGTGCTCTAGGAAAAAAAAAAAAAAAAAAACAAAGGCTGGGCGCGGTGGCTCACACCTGTAACGCCAGCCGAGATCACATCACTGTACTGCAGCCTAGGGACAGATTCTCCTGCCTCAGACTCGAGTAGCTGGAATTACAGGCACATGTCACTACACCCGGCTAATTTTTGTATTCTTAGTAGAGATGGCGTTTCACCATGTTGGCCAGGCTGGTCTCCAACACTTGACCTCATGATCTGCCCACCTCGGCCTCCCAAAGTGCTGGGATTACAGGCGCGGGCCAGTGCGCCCGGCCTGCCTTTCTTATTTTTAAGGGGAGAGGCTCTTGCTCTGGCGCCCAGGCAGGAGTGCCCTGGCCAAACACTGCAGCCCTGACCTCTTGGGCTCCAGCGATCCTCCTGTCTTGGCCTCCCAAGTAGTTGGGACTTCAGGTTTTCCCCACGATGCCTAATTTTTGTATTTTCTGTAGAGATGGGGTCTCAATGTTTTTTTTTTGTTGTTCTGTTTTGAGACAGTCTCACTCTGTCACCCACAGTGGAGTGCAGGGGTGCCATCTCAGCTCACTGCAACCTCCACCTCCCAGGTTTAAGCGATTCTTGTGCCTTATCCTCCTGAATAGCTAGGATTACAGGTGCGTGCCACCATGCCTGGCTAATTTATATATTTTTAGTAGAGATGGGGTTTCGCCCTGTTGGCCAGGCTGGTCTTGAACTCCTGGCCTCAAGTGATCTGTTCTCCTCAGTCTCCCAAGGTGCTGGGATTACAGACGTGAGCCACTGTGCCCGGCCAACTTAGGTTTTAGAGACCGAGTGTTGCTGTGTTGCTCTGTTGCCCAGCATGGAGAGCAGTGGCTTGATCTAAGCTCACTGCAACTTCTGCCTCCCAGGCTCAAGTGATCCTCCCACCTCAGCCTCCTGAGCATCCAGCATCCATTCTTCTATGGGTCGGTGTGGTTCTCTCTCTTGCCATCTGTTCCCTCTGTCACTTTCTTGTTGACCTCCAACCTCCCTCATCCTCACTCAGCTGATGACCTTGCTTTCGGCCTCAGTGAGATGATCTAAAAGACCTTGCGCACCCCCCCAACAGCTGTGCTGCCCGCCTGTACCCGGGCCGTGCATGCTGCTTCCCCTTCCGCCCGCTCATGCTGGCCGGTGAACTGTTGGTTCCGCCAGCCGAGACTGACCTAAGACCCTTATGGCTGTGCAACGAGTTACTCCAGGCTCAGCAGCTTCAAACGGGTCGAATCGTGTCTCCCCAAAAGACCGGTCCGGGTGGTGACGCCTGGTACCCATGAATGTGACCTTATTTGGAAAGAGTCTTTGCAGGTGTTCTTAACGATCTCAAGAGGAGATCATCCCGGATTTAGGGTAGACCCTAAATCCAATAATCAGTGTCCTTTTAAGACACAGAAAACTAGACCTGAGCACAGCAGCACACGGCTCTAGTCCCAGCTACTCTAGATGCCAAGCAGGAGTGCTTATGCCCAGGAGCACCGGACCAGCGTGGGCATCACAGTAACACCCCATCTGGAGTGCAGTGATGCAATCGTGGCTCGCTGCAACCTTGGCTTCCTGGGTTCCAGCGAATTCTCCTGCCTCAGCCTCCTGAGTAGCTGGAGCTACAGGCGGACACCACCACACTCGGCTAATTTTTAAAAAACTTTTTAGTAGAGACGGGTTTTCACTGTGTTGGCCAGGCTGGTCTCAAACTCCTGACCTCGTGATCTGCCCGCCTCAGCCTCCCAAAGTGGGAGGATTGCAGGCATGAGCCACCACGCCCGGCTGACCCCATCTCTTAAAAAACAAACAAACAAATCAGTGGCTAGGTGTGGTGACTCACACCTGTAATTTCAGTGCTTTGGGAGGACGAGGTGGGCAGATCATGAAGTCAGTAGTTAAAGACCAGCCTGGCCAACACAGTGAAATCCCATCTCTACTAAAAAATAGAAATAAAAATAAAAATACAAAAATTAGCCAGGTGTGGTGGCAGGCACTTGTAATCCCAGCTACTCAGGAGGCTGAGGCAGGAGAATTGCTTGAACCTGGGAGGTGGAGGTTGCGGTGAGCCGAGATTGCACCACCGCACTCCATCGTGGCGGACAGAGATAGACATCGTGTCAAAAAAAGTAATAATAATAAAAAGATTAAGAAAATCCCCAGAGATAGAGGAAAGAAGACAGATACCTTTCCTGTGGGTAGGGAGTCTGGCAGCAGGGTATCTGGGTGTTTCTGGCTTTGAGTGTCTCATGAGGTTGCAGTCAAGCTGTCGCCGGGGCTGCCTCATCTGAAGGCTCATTTGGGGCTGAAGGAGCCACTTCCAAGTTGGCGCCTTTCCATGGGACACTGGCTGCCTGAGCCACCTCTTTGGTTTACCAGCTCCTGGTCCTTCTTGTCAACTCACAGGTGTCACTTCAGCCATTCACCCTTTTCTCTCCAGCCTCATTGATTTCCTCTCTTAGACCATCAGACCAGCTGTAATTTTTAAAAAACAACAAGGAACAGCTGGGCGCGGTGGCTCAGGCCTGTAATCCCACCACTTTGGGAGGCTGAGGCAGGTGGCTCACGCCTGTAATCCCAGCACTTTGGGAGGCCGAGGTGGGTGGATCACGAGGTCAAGACATCGAGCGAGACCATCCTGGTCAACAAGGTGAAACCCTGTCTCTACTAAAAATACAAAAATTAGCTGGGCATGGTGGTGTGCGACTGTAGTCCCAGCTACTCAGGAGGCTGAGGCAGGAGAATTGCTTGAACCCAGAAGGCGGAGGTTGCAGTGAGCCGGGATCGCCTCTGCACTCCAGCCTGGCGACAGAGCAAGACTCCGTCTCAAAAAAAAGAAGAGAAAAGAAAAAGTCCGGCACAGTGGCTCACATCTGTAATCCTGGCATTTTGGGAGGCTGAGGCGGGTGGATCACCTGAGGTCAGGAGTTGGAGACCAGCCTGGCCAACATGGTGAAATCTTGTCTCTACTAAAATTACAGACACTGGCTGGGCGTGGTGGCGCAGGCTCGTAGTCCCAGCTACCCGGGAGGCTGAGGCATAAGAATCGCTTGAACCCAGGAAGTGGAGGTTGTAGTGAGCCAAGATCACACCACTGCACTCCAGCCTGGACAACAGAAGGAGACTGACTTTTAAAACAATAACAACAACAACAAAAACACCCCGGAAAGTAATCCCAGCTACTCGGGAGGCTGAGGCAGGAGAAGGGCTTGAACCCTGGAGGCGGAGGTTGCAGTGAGCCGAGACCGCGCAATTGTACTGCAGCCTGCGAGACAGTCCCTGACTCTGTCTCAGAGCCAGGACAGGCGTCGCGCGTCGCGGGTGCGTGACGTCACCCCGGGGTGTGCGCAGCGCGAGCGGAAGCGGAAGCGGAAGCGGCTCGGTTCGCCGCCCCTCCCACCGGCCCGATGAGCTGCAGCGGCTCCGGCGGGGACCTAGAGGCGGTGCCTGTGTCGGCTCCCGGTACGCTGCCCGCCTGCATCGCCACGAAGAACGAGGCCAACCCCGCAGGGACACCAGGGGGGGCGTGAGGCTGGAGCAGCTGCTGGGGGCACGGGACCGTTGGCGGCGCGGGCCGGGGCGCCCCTGGAGGGGGCCATGTTTGACGGGGTTTCCGTACTGCCCAGCGCGACCCACGGAGACGGGAAGCCCTTGGTGTCCAGCGCGCCTCTGGCGGACTTCTTTTTTTTTTTTTTTTTTAAAAACAAAATGTTTCAGGGCCTGTCACGTGTCAGCCAATACACATGGCATTGGGGCAGACGATGACGGGGTGACCGAGACACAGCCCTTCCTTGCTTCCTCATAATCTTCTGTCAAGTAAACAGCATAAACCTGTGTATGAATGGATGCGTGGATGTCTGAATGAACGGTAGATAAATGAATGATTATTTAAACATGGTATAAGGTTGGAATTGACGCATTAATGAGTGAATACGCTGCTAAGTGTGTAAATAAATGATACCCGGACAGACCTGGTGGCCCACGCCTGTAATCCCAGCGCTTTGGGAGGCCAAGGCGGGTGGATCACCCGAGGTCAGGAGTTCAAGTCTGCCGGACTTCTTGATGCAGCTGGAGGATGACACACCTACGAGCCCAGATGCAGTGGCTGGTGAGCACCTGGACCTGGTTACTCACAGCGACGCGGAGTTCGGTTCATCTCCCTAGCTGCCCGGAAACTCATCTCACATATTGCCAGTGATGCCCCACAGCACTGCAAAATGAAGGGCACAGGCTCCTGCAGCTCCGGGAGCAAGAGCAGGGACCGCAAGCACACTCTTAACCGTGGAGGACCTGAGCCCCCCGACCTAAATGTGCTTGTCTGTCCCCATGAACCCACACCAGCCTGTTTTCATAATCAACTTTATTGTGACAAAAAACAAAACTCAAATATACAAGGGCACCCCGGCTTCTTCTTCTTCTTCTTTTTTTTGCTTTTAAACATGGGTGTCACCATGATGGCCAGGCTGATCTTGAACTCCTGACCTCAGGTGATCCACCCACCTTGGCCTCCCAAAGTGCTGGGATTACAGGCGTGAGTCACCGCGCCCAGCCGGCACCCCCTTCTTTATAGAGACAAGATCTGGCTCTGTCACCCAGGCTGGAGTGCAATGGCGCGATCTCTGCTCACCGCAACCTCCGCCTCCTGGATTCAAACAATTCTCCTGCCTCAGCCTCCCGAGTAGCTGGGATTACAGGCACGTGCCACCGTGCCCAGCTAATTTTTTGTATTTTTAGTAGAGACGGGGTTTCACCTTGTTGACCAGGATGGTCTCGATCTCTTGACCTCGTGATCCACCTGGCCTCGGCCTCCCAAAGTGCTGGGATTGTAGGCATGAGCCACCGCGCCCCGCCAGGCTCACGCTTTTATTTTGGCTGCTATTGTTGATACAGTCTTACTCTGTCATCCAGGCTGGAATGCAGTGGCTCGATCTCCGCTCACTGCAATCCCTGCCTCTCAGGTTCAAGCGATTCTCCTGCCTCAGCCTCATGAGTAGCTGGTATTACAGGCACCCACCCCAGTGCCTGGCTAATTTTTGTATTTTAGTAGAGACGGGGTTTTACCATTGTGGCCAGGCTGGTCTCGAACTCCTAACCTCGTGATCCACCTGCCCTGGCCTCCCAAAGTGTTGGGATTACAGGCGTGAGCCACTGAGCCCAGCCAAGTCTCACACTTATACACATCATTGCATTTCCTCCTCCCAACACCCCAGGAAATTTTACCAACCCTGTTGTAGAAAGAAGCTCAGAGAACCCCGGAGAGCAGAGGTTGTGCTGTGACGGGCAGAGCTGGGATTTGAACCCGTCTCCCTCACCACCACCTGATACTGCCTTGTCCTGGCTCCCCGGGCCCCGGCTGCTTGGAATTTCTTGTGTTTCTCTCTGGGTTTCTCCTCTGCGGTATTCCTAACTCAGCAAATGGGGACACCGCCATCCCAGGCAGTCTAAAAACACAGGTTTGGTCAATGAAAAATCTATCCCAGCCAGGCATGGTGGCTCACGCCTGTAATCCCAGCACCGTGGGAGGCCAAGGCGGGCGGATCACCTGAGGTCGGAAGTTCGACCAGCCTAACCAACATGGAGAAACCCCTTCTCTACTAAAAAAATACAAAATTAGCTGGGCATGGTGGTGCGTGCCTGTAATCCCAGCTACTCGGTAGGCTGAGGCAGGAGAATCGCTTGAACATGGGAGGTAGAGGTTGTGATGAGCCGAGATTGTGCCATTGCACTGCAGCCTGGGCAACAAGAGTGAAACTCCATCTCAAAAAGAAAAAAAAGGAAAAATCTATCCCAAGGCCAGGTGCAGTAGCACACACCCCTGTAATCCAGCACTTTGAGAAGCCGAGGCAGGTGGATCACGAGGTCAGGAGACCAGCCTGACCAACGTGGTGAAACCCTGTCTCTATTAAAAGTGCAAAAATTAGCTGGACGTGGTGGCGTGCTCCTGTAGTCCCAGCTACTCAGGAGGCTGAGGCAGGAGAATCGCTTGAACTGGGAAGGCGAAGGTTGCAGTGAGCCCAGATTGTGCCACTGCACTCCAGCCTGGGTGGGTGACAGAGTGAGACTCCACCTCAAAAAAAAAAAAAAAGAAAGAAAAGAAAAGAAAAATCTATCCCAAGGCCAGGTGTGGTGGCACACATGCCTGTAATCCCAGCACTTCGTGAGGCTGAGGCAGGAGGATCGCTGGAGCCCAGGACTTAAAAAAGAGCAGCCTGGGAAACCGAGTGAGACCCTGTTTCTGTAAAAATACACTCAGAAAATTAGGTAGGTATGGTGGCACGGAGCTGTAGCCCCAGCTACTTGGGAGGCTGAGGCAGGAGGATGGCTGAGCCTGGGCAGTCAAGGATGCAGTGAGCCAAGATCCCACCACTGCACTCCAGCCTGGGTGACAGAACAAGACCCTGTCTCAAAAAAATAAAAAGAATGGCTGGGTGCGGTGGCTCACGCCGGTAATCCCAGCACTTTGGGAGGCTGACAGGGGCAGATCACCTGGAGTCAGGAGGTCGGGAGGCGGAGGCGGGTGGATCATCTGAGGTCAGGAGATCAAGACCAGCCTGGCCAACATGGTGAAACCCCGTCTCTACTAAACATACAAAAAAAATTAGCCAGATGCGGTGGCACACGCCTGTAGTCCCAGCTACTTGGGAGGCTGAGTCTGGAGAATCGCTTGAACCTGGGAGGCGGAGATTGCAGTGAGCCGAGATTATGCCACTGCACCCCAGCCTGGGCAACAGAGTGAGACTCCATCTCAAAATAAATAAATAGAAATAAAAGTAAATCCCAAATCTGCCCGCTTTTCTCCCACTGGGACCAGCTCAGTGCCCTCCACCTCATTCCAGTCTGTCCCCGCAAAGCAGCTACCAGGGGCCACCTGTGAGCACCTAGGTCAGGACCTGTCCCTCCTCTGCCCACAACCCTCCATGGCTCCCACCTCCCTTAGGGTCTAAGCCCAAGTCTTCCTCACGGTCTACATGGCCCTGCAGGACCTCACTGTTCCGCCACCATGCCAGGCGTAGTCCTGCCCCAGGGCCTTGGCACAGGCTATGCCCTCTGCTTGGAACTTTCTTTCCTCTGGCTCTTCCATGGCTGGTTCCCTTCTTCCAGGTCTTTGTTCAAATGTCACCTCCTCAGTGATGCCTTGGCAACCCTATTTTTTTTTTTTTTTTGAGATGGAGTCCTGCTCTGTTGCTGAGGCTGGAGCGCAATTGTGTGATCTCGGCTCACTGCAACCTTTGCCTCTTGGGTTCAAGTGATTCTCCTTCCTGCCTCAGCTTTCCAAGTAGCTGAGATTACAGGTGCCCGCCACCACATCTGGCTACTTTTTGTATTTTTAGTAGAGAAGGGGTTTCACCATGTTGGCCAGACTGGTCTCGAACTCCTGACCTCAGGTGATCCGCCCTCCTCGGCCTCCCAAAGTGCTGGGATTATAGGCATGAGCCACAGTGCCCGGCCTGGTCTTTCTTATTCATAGCTGTGTCCCAGCACCTGAGAGAGTGTCCAGCTACAGTCACTGCTCAATACATATTCCATGAATGGATGAAGAGCCAAGCACGGTGGGGAGGACCTGTAATCTTTGCTGCTCCAGAGGCTGGGGCGGGAGGATTGCTTGAGCCCGGGAGGTTGAGGGTGCAGTGAGCTATGATCTTACCACTGCACTCTAGCACTCAGGGAGACAGACTCTGTCACAAAGAATAATATTAGCCAGGCATGGTGGCAGGCATCTGTAATCCCAGCTACTCAGGAGGCTGAGGCAAGAGAATCATTTGAACCTGGGAGGTGGAGGTTGCAATGAGCTAAGATCTTGCTATTGCACTCTAGCCTGGGTGACAAGAGTGAAAATCCATCTAAAAAAATTAAAATAAATAATAAAGTAATAAAGTCTTGGCACAGTGGCTCATGCATGTAATTCTAGCACTTTGGGAGGCCTAGGCGGGCAGATTATGGGGTCAGGAGTTCGAGACCAGCCTGGCCAACATACTGAAACCCTGGCTCTACTAAAAATACAAATATTAGCCGGGTGTGGTGGCACATGCCTGTAGTCCCAGCTACTCAGCAGGCTGAAGCACGAGAATCACTTGAACCAGGGAGGCAGAGGTTGCAGTGAGCCGAGACTGCGCCATTGCACTCCAGCCTGGACGACAGAGCAAGACTCCATCTCAAAAAATAACAATAAAAAGAAGAATAAGAAAAAAGATGAATGAAGAGAGCGAACCGGCCGTGAGGAAATCTGGGCAGGGCATTCCAGGTGGCAGAGTCCTGGCTGGAGCTGAGCAGGTAGGCTGCCGGTGGGCGGAAGTGATTGGCAGTGTGGTTAACCCAGGCAGATGGTGGCCGTGGGGCGGCCGCCCAATCCTCTTAGCTCAAAGCCCCTTAATACTTCCGCTGTGTGGGTCACCTCCGGGCCTCCCCGGTGCCGGGCGGACACCATGCCAGGGCTGGCGGCCGGGGAGGAGGCCGAGGGCTGGAGCCCGTCCCCTCCGCTGTACGAGGAGTACCGGCCGCCGCCCCTGGACACCATCCGCCTGCCCAGGTACGTGCTGTACCTGCTGCTGGCCGCGCTGATCGTGCTGGCCGTCGCCTACGCCATCGTCGGGCACCTCATCAAAGACCTCGCCCACGACCTGGCCGGTGAGCTGCCCCCACCGAAACCTGGCCTGGCGGATGCTGGGCCACCCCGGGTGGGTGGTCGGGGATCCAAGGGCTTCTCTTAGCCGGGGAGGGGACAGAGAAGGGTGGAGTTGCCTCACCAGCTCCCTTGCCTCAGACTGGGCATTCGGCCCGAAGCCCGACCAGGAGGCTGCCCCCCGGGAGCTGCGCCCCAGCCTGACCGGCGAGGACTTGGAGGGGCTGGACCTGCAGCTGGCCCTGGCCTGGCAGGGGGAGGAGGACACTGTCAGGGGTGGCGAGGGGGCCCCCTCCGAACCCCCGCCTCCCCCGGAGCCCCACCGTCCCTCCGTTGCCTTCAAGGACGCCCCGTCCCGAAGCTCCTTCTGGAATCTGATGTGAACTTGAATCCTGGACCCGGGTTCTGGACACTTTGGCGGTCATGCGGACAGAACATGCCCTTTCTGCCAGCCCCGAGCTGCCTGGTCGCAGCGGATGGCTTTCTCCTTCCCAGCCGGCAGGTTCCGGGGGTTGGACGCTGGCGACTTTCACACTCTTCAGAGACTGCCCGGCTCAGCCTCAGCCGAGCTGTCAGCAAACTGTGAACCAGGAAGACCAGGGTGATTGAAAACATTGATATTACCTCCAGCCTTACCTAGTGCTTAGCGCGCACCTGCTGCTGTGTGGGGCAGGCTTTCCCTATGCATTATCTCATTTAATCCTCCAAGCTAGGACTGATTACCCCCACTTAACAGATGGGGAAACTGCGGCACGCAGCGGTGAACTGGCTTCGCCGAGGTCTTAGAGCACAGAGCCCTTTTCTCAGAAAATGCCCCGGCAACTACTGACTTTGGAGGGCAGGATCTCTGAGGCGGGTCCCACCCTGTCCCCTTCGCTGGGCTCCCCTCCCTCCAAATCTTCTCCAGCCCGCACCTTGGCTGCTGGGTCTGCCTGTCTCTGGGGCATGGTCCTGACCAGGAGCTCCCAGACAGCACCGAGGCCTCCTTCCCTTCCAAGCCTTGCAGAAGATGGGGTACACAGTAGGAGTTTAATAGATGCCTGCCTGGCTGGCTCAAGCAGACCTGTGGCCGTCCTGGGGCTGGGATGTGTAAGCTCTGTCCTGCTGAGTGGCCTCAGCAGTCATCCGCAGGCCTCTGGAAGAGAGGAAGTGCCAGCGGCGCAGCAGGTGCTCCACAAACACCCCTGCGATGAAGCTGGGTCTTCCTGCCACTCGCCTGGACCGTGGCTGCTCCCGTATCAGCTGGGGCGGGGCTCCCCTTCGCCCGGGCAGGGCCCTCTATCTAATCAGCCTAGGGACCAAGGTTGAGGACAGGAGAGCCTGGACCCTGAGTCATCAGTCATCAGCCCTCGGGGCACCCCCACGTGAGAGCCGCAGGGTTTGCAGGTGGACCACGGGCATGTGGTTTCTGCACACCTTTCCTGCCCCTGTGTGCTCCTGTGGCTGCTTGCGGGTCCCCAGAAGCCAAGACCCTGGGCGAGGCAGGATAAGCTGGGGGTGAGGCGGACCTGGCTTCAAATCCCAGATCAGACCCGCTTCGTGACCTTCACTCTCCCGGGCTGTGCACAATGAGACTAGCCACATTTCACAGGGTGTTAAGGAAGTGCCCTGTATGAGTCGGCCGAGCCCGGAGCAAAAAAAGTTGACTCAAATTTCTTTTGTTTTTAGAGACAGGGTCTTGCTCTGTTGCCCAGGCTGGAGTGTGGTGGTGCGATCGTAGCTCGCTGCAGCCTCACACTCCTGGACTCAAGTGATCCTGTCACCATGGCTGGGACTACAGGTGCAGGCCACCGTGCCCAGCTAAGTTCTTTATTTATTTATATGTTTTTATTTTTTTGAGATGGAGTCTCACTCTGTTGCCCAGGCTGGAGTGTAGTGGTGAACTCTCGGCTCATTGCAGCCTCTGCCTCCCGGGTTCAAGGAATTCCGTGCCTCAGCCTCCCGAGTAGCTGGGACTACAGATGCACGCCACCACACCTGGCTAATTTTTGTATTTTTAGTAGAGACAGGATTTCCCCATCTTGGCCAGGCTGGTCTTGAACTCCTGACCTTGTGATCTGCCCGCCTTGGCCTCCCAACGTGCTGGGATTACAGGCGTGAGCCACTCACCCGGCCTATTTTATTTTTTTGAGACCGAGCCTTGCTCTGTCGCCCAGGCTGGAGTGCAGTGGTGTGATCTCTGCTTACCGCAAACTCTGCCTCCCTGGTTCAAGCGGTTCTCTTGCCTCAGCCTCCCAGTTTTTTATTTTTTATTTTAGAGATGGGGGGCGCGGGGAGACTGGTCTAGAACTCCTGGCCTCAAGCGATTCTTCCGCCTTGACCTCTCAGAGGGCTGGGATGACAGGAGTGCACCGTACTGGGCCTTGGTAACTCTTTTTATTTCTTTCTTTTCTTTTCTTTTTTTGAGATGGAGTTTCGCTCTTGTTACCCAGGCTGGAGTTCAATGGCGCGATCTCGGCTCACCGCAACCTCCGCCTCCTGGGTTCAGGCAATTCTCCTGCCTCAGCCTCCCGAGTAGCTGGGATTACAGGCAGGCGCCACCATGCCCGGCTAATTTTTTGTATTTTTAGTAGAGATGGGGTTTCACCATGTTGACAAGGATGGTCTCGATCTCCCAAAGTGCTGGGATTACAGGCGTGAGCCACCGCGCCCGGCCTTTATTTCTATTGTTAAAATTTCTTTTGAGACAGGGTGTCCCTCTGTCACCCAGGCTGGTGTGACCATAGCGGGTGGCAGCCTCAAACTCCCGGGTTCAACTGATCCTCCCACCTCAGCACCCCCTAGTAGCTGAGACTGCAGGCTCCTGCCAAGCCTGGCTAATTTTTGTATTTTTGTAGTGATGGGGCTTCACTAATTTGCCCCAGCTGGTCTGGAACTCCTGGGTTCAAGGATCCTTCTGCTTTGGCCTCTCAATGTGCTGGGATTACAGGTGTGAGCCACCACGCCCGGCCCACCCTTCTTTTTTTTTTTTGAGACGGAGTTTCTCTCTTGTTACCCAGGCTGGAGTGCAATGGCACGATCTCGGCTCACCGCAACCTCCACGTCCTGGGTCCAGGCAATTCTCCTGCCTCAGTCTCCCGCGTAGCTGGGATTACAGGCACGCGCCACCATGCCCGGCTAATTTTTGTATTTTTAGTAGAGACGGGGTTTCACCATGTTGACCAGGATAGTCTCGATCTATTGACCTCGTGATCCACCCGCCTCAGCCTCCCAAAGTGCTGGGATTATAGGCGTGAGCCACCGCGCCCGGGAAGCCCACCCTTCTTAACATATTCCAGCCATATTTGTGAGTTTCCCCTGTGCACACAGTGGCAGGGGGCCTGGGCCGGGCTGGGATGTGGGAGCCGTCTCAGCTCAGCCCCTGCAGCAGGGATCGCGAGGGGGTGGCCCTGAGCCTGACGGTCCCCAGGGCAGGGTTCAGGGAGGAGGGACTCCCCCAGTTAATTGTTACACAGGTCTAGAGTCTGGCCTCCCGGAGGGGGAGCGATGGGGCAGGAGCTGGCAGGGGAGGGCAGGATGCCCAACCAGGTGGTGCCAGGGGCGGGCCCCGCTCCCGGTCTCTGGCATCCCCCGCCCCGGACCGCCCGCGCCTTATCTCGGGGCGGCAGGGCCTCGCCCACACCAAACCTGTGGAGGCCGACCCGGGACGCCGCTGGCTGGCTGATGGCTCGCTCGACCGTCATGGAGATCCTGGGGTCCCTTCTGGTGCTGGAGTTTCTGCTCCTCTCCCCGGCAGAGGCCCAGCAGAGTAGGTGCACGGGGGCGGGAGCGGGCGTGGTGGGGTGGGGGAGTTGGTCACGGGGTCACCATCTCCCAACTTTCCACGGCGAGAAAGAGGAGAGGGCGCAGGAAGAAGAGGAAGGGGGGGTTGGAGGCCCTCCTCAGCGCCCTGCAGTCCCGCCCGGCGCCTCCCCATCGCTGGGCTCTGCCCTCCTCTGTAAGGGCCCGAGCCGCGCCCCTCTCCAGCCCTTCTCTTCTGAGCACACCAGGCTGAGACCCCCCTGAGCTCGGCCCGCTCTGAGTTCCCGCCTCCTCACTAGTCCCTCCCCATCTGAACCCCCTCTTTTCTAAACCCCGCCTCCTCACACCTCCTCCTTTATAAACCCCTCCCCGAGTCCCTCCTCTGCTGTAAGCCCCTCCCCTCTGACCTCCTTTAAAAAAATCTCCCCTCCGTTATAAGTCCCACCCCCATAAGCCCCTCCCCCTCAGACCCGCTCCCTTTATAAGCCCCTCCCCCCAGACTCACTCCCTTTATAAGCCCCTCCCCTCTGAGACCATCTCCCTTTATAAGCCCCTCCCCTCTGAGACAATCTCTCTTTATAAGCCCCTCCCCTCTGACCTCCTCCTTTACAATACCCCCTCCGTTATAAGTCCCTCCCCCGAGACCCACTCCCTCATAAGCCCCTCCCCCTCAGACCCGCTCGCTTTATAAGCCCCTCCCCCTCTGAGACCATCTCCCTTTACAAGCCCCTCCCCTCTGACCTCCTCCTTCTTTACAATACCCCCTCCGTTATAAGTCCCTCCCCCCAGACCCACCCCCCATAATTCCCTCCCCTCGGAGCGCCTCCTTTTTAGTAAGCCCCTCCCCTGAGTCACCGCCTCCTTTACAAGCCCCTCCCCCTCTGAGACACTGAGACCCTCTCCTTTATAAGCCACTCCCCTCTGAGCACCTCCTTCTTCATAAGCCCCTCCCCCTGATCCTCCACCTTCTTTAGAAGTCGCTCCTCCCGAGCTCCACCTTTTTTTTTTTTTTTTTTTAGACAGAATTTTGCTGTTTCCCCGGGCGCCACCACGCCCAGCTAATTTTTTGTATTTTTAGTAGAGACGGGGTTTCACCATGTTGACCAGGATGGTCTCGATCTGTTGACCTCGTGATCCTGCCTCGGCCTCCCAAAGTGCTGGGATTACAGGCTTGAGCCACCGCGCCCGGCCCTAATTTTTGTATTTCTAGTAGAGACGGGGTTTCACCATGTTGACCAGGATGGTCCCGATCTCTTGACCTCGTGATCCACCCTCCTCTGCCACAAACTGCTGGGATGACAGCCGTGAGCCACGAAGACCAGCCGGCTCCTTCTTTTTATAAGCCCCTCTCCCTGAGCCTCCGCCTCCTGTATAAGCCCCCCCCCGAGCCTCCGCCTCCTTTATAAGCCCCTCCCTCTGAGCCTCCGCCTCCTTTATAAGCCCCTCCCTCTGAGCCTCCGCCTCCTGTATAAGCCCCTCCCTCTGAGCCTCCGCCTCCTGTATAAGCCCCTCCCTCTGAGCCTCCGCCTCCTTTATAAGCCCCTCCTTTCTGAGACCCTCCCCTTATCATCCCTTCTCCTCTTAGCTCCTCCTTCTTTATAAGCCCCTCCCCCTCTGAGCTCACCTAGTTCACAAGCCCTTCCCTATCTGAGCCCCCTCCTCTTTTGTAAGCCCCTTCTTCTCACTCATCCTCCTCTATAAACTCCTCCCTGAGCCCGTCCTCTGTTGTAAGCCCCTCCCATGAGGGCTTGTGTTGTAAATCCCACCCCCGAGACTCTTCTTCACAAGCCCCTCCCCATCTGATGGCCCCGCCTCCTCCACAAGCCCCTCCTCCTCCGAGCTCCTCCTCCTTTATAAACCCCGCCCCTGAGCCCTCCTTTGTCATAAGTCCTTCCCACTCAGCCTCCTCCTGCGTTTAAGCCCCGCCCCTTATAATTTGCAAACTTCGCCCCCTCAGAACCCATCTTCGTGTACAAGGCCCTCCCCTCTCTGGGTCCTCAGCCTCCCTCCCACTCTGGTAAGGTACCCTGTCCCCTCTCTAAACCCCCCACCCCGCTACGGCATCCCGATCTCTGAAGCTCCATTCCTTTCCAAGATCCCCTCTGTCTGAGCACCCCAGTGCCCTTCTCTCTCTCCTTGCTAGGGTGGTGGGGGAATAGGGGTCCTCTGTCCTGTCCTTCCTCTGAGTCCAACCTCCCTGACCTCCTGCAGCCACGGAGCGTCACCTGAAGCCGTGGCTCGTGGGCCTGGCCGCCGTGGTCGGCTTCCTGTTCATCGTCTATGTGGTCCTGCTGGCCAACCGCGTCTGGTGCTCCAAAGCCAGGTGGGCGCCAGCCCCCACCCCGCTGCCCCCACGGCCCTGCCCAAAGCGCTGCCCCCGTCCCCAGCTTCCTAAGCGTCTCTGGTCCCTGCATCACCAGCCTCGGTGTCCAAAGGTCTCCCATTTCCCTGCTGCTCCTCGGAACCCCTAGTCTCAGAGCCCAGACCCGGGGCCTGCACCTGCCCCTCTCCCCGAGACAACCAGCCCGGCAGCCCACCCCTTCTTGCATTCTGGGGGTCATGATCCCCGGCTGGGAGGTTTCGACAGAGTCTGAGCCCACCTCTTTCCCTTTACCCCCCACCCCGCCACTCCCTCCCGCCCCCTCCCACCCTTTTCTTTATCTCTGCAGGGCTGAGGAGGAGGAGGCCATGTTCAGAATGGAGCCCAACCTATACCAGGACCTGAGGTACTATGCGTGAGGGCGTCGGGGGTCTATGAGCCCTACTCCGGGCGGGGAATGGGTGTGCACAGATGACCTGACTCTGCTGACCCCCTCAAACGCCTTCCTGCCCCGGGCCTCCACCGGTCCTGTACCTTCTGCTCCTCTCCTCCTCCCCCTGTCCCCGCTCAGGGGTTTCTGGCCTGGCCACCAGCCTTCCTGACACTGTCCCCTGACTCCATGTCTGATTCATGCTTCTCACCAGCGGAACCGCCTCAGTCGCTGACATTACGTGAGGCCTTCCAGTCGTGTCCTGGAACTTTGCTTTGGTCCTGCCTGTGTCCTCATACCCAGCACGGGGCCTGGAACACAGGAGGTGCCTAAAAAACGCCTGTGGAAGAAGAGTGTGGTGTAGGATTGTGTAGGCGTCTGTACAACGCCCAGGTGTGGGCGGGCCACCTGGACTCAGCGTCTCCTATGACTTCCCACTACCTCCTAACACAAGGGCTCCAACAGAGGGCTCAGGGGTGCAGACGTCCATCACTCATCCACCTACCCACCATCAACAGAGGGCTCAGGGGTGCAGATGTCCATCACTCGTCCACCTACCCACCATCCATCCACCCGCCACCCCTACTCATCCACCCGTTCACCCACCTCCACCACTCACCATCCATCACCCATCACCCACTTATCCATCCACTCACCCATCCACCCATTCACCCATCCATCCACCCGCCACCCGCTCATCCACCCACCCATCCACCCATTCACCCACCTCCACCGCTCACCATCCATCACCCATCACCCACTTATCCATCGACTCACCCATCCACCCATTCACCCATCCATCCATCACTCACCATCCACCTGCCACCCACTCATCCATCCACTCACCCTTTCGCCCATTCACCCACCCATCCATCCCTCACCATCCATCACCCACCGTCCATCCACCCATCACCCACTCATCCATCCACTCACTCATTCACCCACCCATGCATTCAGCAACCCATCCACCCGCTCACCTATCCATCCATCACTCGTACATCCATCACTCACCCACCATCCATCACCCATCCACTCACCCACTCATCTGCTCACACACCTATCCATCCACCCACCCACCCATCTATCCATCACCTACCCGCCCATCCATCCACCATCCATCCATCCATCCCCCATCTATTCACTCATCCACCCACACACCCATCCATCCACTGACCCATTTATCCCTCCATTAATCCATCCATCCATCCACCCACCCACCCACCCATCCATCCAGGGCTGGGGGCTCTGTCTTGGGCAAAGGCTTGGGGACAGGGGTAGGAGAGTGGCAGCTGGGAGGTGACCAGCTTGGCTGGGAGATTCTCAGCCAAGTTCAAGATGTGCCTGAGGGAGAGGACTTGAGCGGTGGCTTTGTCTAACACCTGGCTCAGCCCCAGTAAAGTGTGATACCTACTCCCAGGATGTGTACGGAGGATCTGGCTCCCACCTGTGTGCCTGTGCCTGTAGCTTCCTTTCTGCCTTGCTCATTCCTCCATCCATCCACTCAACCATCTGCCTATACATCCATCTATTGGTCTGCCTGTGCAGTCCTCACCCTCCAACCACACATCCATCAGTCTGCCTGCCCATTAGCCCAGTGATCCACCCACCCATTGACGCACCCACCCACCTATGCATCCATCCGACTGTGGGGTCTTCACTCTCCAACTGTCCATCCATCAGTCTGCCTGCCCATTAGCCCAGTGATCCACCCACCCATTGATGCACCCACCCACCTATGCATCCATCCAACTGTGGGGTCTTCACTCTCCAACTGTCCATCCATCAGTCTACCTGCCCATTAGCCCATTGATCCACCCACCCACCTGCAGTCTCATTTATCCTTCATCTACCCATCCATTGATATGTCATTCTCTTCTTCCTCCAGTTCATCCACTTATCTACCTACTAATCTGTCCCTCCCTCTACGCACCCATCGGTTCTCCTCACTCCTTTTCTACTCCTCCATCCATCCGTCCACCTGTACATTAGTTCACTGATCTACACATCCATGTATACTCCGATTCTCATCCTCCATCCACCCATCCACGGATCCCTCATTCTCTCCTTCCTGCAGTGTATCCATTTATCTTCTAATTCATTTATTCAACCTCCATGCAGCCATCCATTCACATAACTCCTCTCTAGTCATCCATCCACCCATCATCCACCCACCCTGCCACCCGCCCATTCATGCATCTACTCATTCATCATCCATCCTTTAACCACTTACCCATTTATACATCCACCCATCCATCATCCATCCATTCACCCACTATCCACCCACCCGTCTACTCATCTACCCTTCTATCCCCCAACTACTTCTTCTTCTTCTTTTTGAGACGGAGTTTCGCTCTTGTTACCCAGGCTGGAGTGCAATGGCGCGATCTCGGCTCACCGCAACCTCCGCCTTCTGGGTTCAGGCAATTCTCCTGCCTCAGCCTCCTGAGTAGCTGGGATTACAGGCACGCGCCACCACTCCTGGCTAATTTTTTTTGTATTTTAGTAGAGACGGGGTTTCACTGTGTTGCCCAGGCTAGTCTCAAACTCCTGAGCTCAGGCGATCCGTCCGCCTCAGTTTCCCAAAGTGCTGGGATTACAGGCGTGAGCCACCGCGCCCGGCCAGTCTCGGTTATTTTGAAGATTCACTAAAATACTGCTTCTAAAACACTCATCACCTGGGCTGGCTGAAATAGGTCATTAAATAGGAACGACTCTGTTTCTTATGATGGTTTGGGGCCTTTGTATCCCTACAGTGAAGACAAGAGGGAGAAGAAACATGCCCAGGGGAAAGAAGAGGAGAGGAAGGAGGAGAAAAAGGCAGCCAAGGAAGGAGAGAGCAACTTGGGACTGGAGCTGGAGGAAAAAGAGCCCCAAGACCATGAGAGAGCAAAGAACACAGCCATGTAAAGATTCCTGGCTGCTTCTTCCAGGCAGTCCCCCAGAGATGCCTCTTCCGCCCCCTGCAAGCAGCGCCCTGGCGTTGAAGCCAGTGAAAGAACTCCATCTGGGATTCAGAATACAGTGTCCTCAAGTGAAGGAGGCTTGGATCCCACCCCACCGCCCTCCATGGGGGCTCTCTGGGCCTCATGTGGTTTTCATGCACCCCTCTTCCTGAGCTTGGTCCCTGCCTGGTGATTCTTCCGAGCTTGGAGAACGTCCCTGGTTGAGGAGACACCGGCAGTCCTCCACAATCTCATGGCTCCCCTGCTTCTGCTCACCGCCTGCTTTCTTTTCTCTCTGCCGGATGTCTGCTGGCCAGAACTTCCCCTTCTCCCAGGCAGCCGCTGTCAGCCAAGGGCTGCCTCCTGATGGCCTGGATTAAATAATTCCTAAGAGCCCTTTGGAAGGGTTCCTGTCATCTCTTGGGACTCAGTTTACCTCTGGGGAAGGAGGCTGCTTTTGGGGCTGGGGGTGATGGCTGGGCGATGATATGGGTGCTCAGCTTGCGCAGGTGCCAGATGCCCTGGGCAGATTAAACGCTCCCCTGCCAGTCTGGTTTCTGCTGTCCCGAGCCCTGGACTTTGTGCCCTGAGTGCCGTCTCCAGGGAAATCTTTGCTCCTTCCCCCGCCTCCCCCAATCGTGTTCTCGGTTGTTCCTGGGAACTGGATCCTGGAGGGTGGGCATGTCCCAGGGCTCTGCAATCTCTTGGAAAGGGACTCGCACTCCGTTCCCAGTTCCTGTTCTCCCTCCTCCCCTCACCTTCTCCAGGCCCTGGACCTTGCCCTCAGCAATGGCCATTTCTCTTTCTTCTGAGACAGAGTCTCCCTCTGTTGTCCAGGCTGGAGTGCAGTGACGTGGTCTTGGTTCACTGCAACCTCCACCTTCCGGGTTCAAGCGATTCTCCTGCCTCAGCCAGGCCACAATTACCATTTCTTTATTATTATTATTTTTTCTTTTTATTTTATTTTACTATTATTTTTAAAGAGATGGGGTTTCACCATATTAGCCAGGATGGTCTCAATCGCCTGACCTCATGATCTGCTCGCTTTGGCCTCCCAAAGTGCTGGGATTAAAGGCATGAGCCACTGCACCTGGCCCCTTTATTATTATTATTTGAGATGGAGTTGTGCTCATTGCCCAGGCTGGAGTGCAATGGCGCGATCTCGGCTCACCGCAACCTCCGCCTCCTGGGTTCAGGCAATTCTCCTGCCTCAGTCTCCCGAGTAGCTGGGATTACAGGCACGCACCACCATGCCCAGCTAATTTTTTGTATTTTTAGTAGAGACGGGGTTTCACCATGTTGACCAGGATGGTCTCGATCTCTTGACCTCGTGATCCACCCACCTCGGCCTCCCAAAGTGCTGGGATTACAGGCGTGAGCCACCGCGTCCGGCCCCTATTATTATTATTTTTTAAATGTTTGAGACAGAGTCTCGCTCTGTCACCCAGGCTGGAGTGCAGTGGCATGATCTCGGCTCACTGCAGCCTCCACCTCCCGGGTTCAAGCGATTCTCACGCCTGGACCTCCCATGTAGCTGGGACTCCATGTGTGAGTCACCACGCCCAGCCCACAATGACCATTTCTTAATGAGGACTTTTTTTTTTTTCCTTAAGGAAAAGTTTTACCCTATTGCCCAGGCTGTAGTGCAGTGGTGCGATCTCAACTCACTGCAACCTCCATCTCCCGGGTTCAAGCGATTCTCCTGCTTCAGCCTCCCGAGGAGCTGGTATTACAGACACCTGCCACCACGCCTGGCTAATTTTTTCATTTTCAGTAGACATGGGGTTTCACCATGTTGGCCAGGCTGGTCTTGAACTTCTGACCTCAAGTGATCCGCCCGCCTCGGCCTCCCAGAGTGCTGGGATTACAGGCGTGAGCCGCCACGCACAGGCGATTTCTCAATAATGACCTTAATAAGGCTGGCATGAGGGCTTCGTTGTGGGGTCCAGGACTGGGGCTGGGGAGCTTCACTGGGAGAACTCTTCTAAGATCATCCACCAGGGGGCGAAAAACCCTCGATAAGTAACTGGTATCCCTAATCCCAGTGCCTTGGGAGGTGAGGGGGAGGATTGCTTCAGGCCAGGAGTTCAAGAGCAGACTGGGCAACATAGCGAGATCCGTCTTTACAAAAAAATTTTATTTTATTGTTATTTTAAAATTTTTATTATAAGTTTTTGAGACCCAGTATCACTCTGTCACCCAGGCTGGAGTGCAATGGCATGATCTCAGCTCACTGCAACCTCCACCTCCTGGGTTCAAGCAATTCTCATGCCTCAGCCTCCTGAGTAGCTGGGACTACGGGCGTGCACCACCAGCCTGGCTAATTTTTTGTGTTTTTAGTAGATAAAGGAGTTTGCCATGTTGCTCAGGCCGGTCTCAAACTCCCAGGCTCAAGCGATCCACCCTCCTTGGCCTCCCAAAGTACTGGGATTAGAGGCGTGAGGCACCAGCCTGGCTAATTTTATTTTTTGGTAGAGCAAGGGTCTCCCTATGTTGCCCAGGCTGGTCTTGAACTCCTGGCCTCAAGCATTCCTCCCATCTAGGACCTCCCAAATTGCTGGGATTACAGGCGTGAGCCACTGCACCCAGCTGCGTTTGGAATTTATTTGCGGGGGCATTTTGGGTTGTCACAAGCCTGCCCCCGTTTTAGGGTGGGGAGCCAGGGGTGACCAACCCAACAGCCTGCTGTGCTGGGGCGGCCCCCAACTCCCAGCCAGGAATCGCATCACCCAGGGGGGCAAGGGTTGGACATGACGGAGGCTTTCCTTGAGATCCAGGGGCAGGCTGAGTCTCCACCCCGGCCTCGGCTGACTCTAGCTGAGACCCCCTGAACTCGGCTCAACCCCCGCTCTAAGGAAACCTCCTCCGAGAAAGACAGGAGCTGGGAGGGGGGAGGTGCATGGGGTCCCCGGTCTGCCCACAAGGGGGCGCCAAAAACCTCGCTGCTGAGGGCGGCAGGGGCCACCCAAGTTGGGAGTGGTACGTGGGAAGGGGCCTCGGACCCCCCACATCCTCGATGTCCTCAGTGCCTGTCACTGGGAAGTGGCGTGGGGCCGTGTATCTGTGTGTTGGCAAGGACGCACTGTGCCTGCTGCCCTGTCAGTGCACCTTATCTCGCTTTTTTGTGCCTCAGTTTCCCCATTTGTAAAAAAGGATCGTCCCTGCCTTGTGGTCTTGTGGGTAGGACGGAAGGAGCCCATGGGGCAAAGAGAGTTTTCCTGGCCCATCCTGGGGTATCCTGGGGTTTTGGGTGGGGACAGGATGGAGGGTGCCATGTCAGCCCTCCAAGAAATAGCCTCTCACACTTTGTTTTTTGAGCCGGGGTCTTGGGGGGACACAGGTTGGAGTGCAGTGGCTCGGTCTTGGCTCACTGCAGCCTCTACCAACCAGGCTCCAGCGATCACCTCCACCTCCCAAGTGGCTGGGATCAGAGAAATGCACCACCATGCCTGGCTTTTTTTTTTGAGATAGGGTCTTGCTCCATTGCCCAGGCTGAAGTGCAGTGGCGCGATCTTGGCTCACTGCAACCTCCACCTCCTGGGTTCAAGCAATTCTCCCACCTCAGCTTCCCGAGTAGCTGGGATTACAGGCACCTGCCACCACACCTGGCTAAGTTTTGTATTTTTTAGTAGAGACAGGGTTTCGCCATGTTGGCCAGGCTGGTCTCAAACTCCTGACCTCAGGCGATCCACCCGCCTTGGCCACCGAAAGTGCTAGGATTGCAGGCGTCAGCCACTGCGCCCACCCTAATTTTTGTATTTTTAGTGGAGACAGGTTTCACCATGTTGCCCAGGCTGGTCTCAAACTCCCGACCTCAAGTGATCCACCTGTCTCGGCCTCCCAAAATGCTGGGATAGCAGGCATGAGCCACCACACCTGTCCCCTCTCACACCTTTTGAGTCTCACTCTGTCACCCAGGCTGGAGTGCAGTGGCGTGATCCTTGCTCACGGCAACCTCCGTCTCTTGGTCTCAAGCGATTCTCGTGCCTCAGCCTCCCGAGTAGCTGGGATTACAGGCACAAGCCACGACGCCCGGCTTACGTTTACATTTTTAGTAGAGATGGAGTTTTGCCAAGTTGGCCAGGCTGGTCCCACCTGGGCCTCCCAAACTGCTGAGATTACAGGTGTGAGCCGCCGCGCCCGGCCACTTCTGCTCACGGTTTAGAACGGTAGTTCTTCCTGACCTGGAGGAAGCTGTAGGGTCCAGGAGGGTAGCTGATTTTGAGTGTTTAGTTCACTGCTGGGTCCCAGTGCTTGGTACTCACGAGATGCTCAGGCAGTCTTTGCTCAATGACTGGGAGTTTGCCAGATGGCAAGAGAAGGCATCTTGTGCATTTATGGAGCACCGGCTGTGTGCCAGGCTTGGATTACTCCAAGGCAGAAGGAAGGGAGAGGGCTGAATCTCCTGGGCCTGGCTTGGAGTGGGTGCTCCATAGATGCCCCATGGAATTCACTGATAGCTCTGAGACTGCTGGGGGGAGGAGGGGACCAGGCTGGAGAAAGCTGGGAGGGCTTCCTGGAGGAAGAGGACACCAGTGTTAAAGGTCTGCACAGACGAGGAGGCAGCAATCAGCAAAGGACCAGGGGTGTGAAAGGACCCATCTGACAAAGGGGAAGAGATTACGGCCACCAGGGGCATTGCAGGGACAGGTCTGGCTTCAGAAGCTCATTCAAAGCCACCATCTAAAGTGGGTGTCCTCCCACCACCAGGCACTGTGACCATGGGCGCTGGATCACTCTCTGGGGTGGGGCCATCCTGGGCACTGCAGGGTGCTGAGTGGCATCCCTGGCCTCCACCTGCCCCATGCCAGAAGCTCCACCTGTTGTGACCACCGCGGATGTCCCAGATATCACCCAGTGTCCTCTATGGGGCACGATCGCCCTTGTGTGAGGCTCCCTGCATTAGGGGATTTTTCTTTTTGAGATGGAGTCTCGCTCTATTGCCCAGGCTGGAGTGCAGTGGCATGATCTTGGCTGACCGCGACCTCCGCCTCCCGGGTTCAAGCGATTCTCCTGCCTCAGCCTCCCGAGTAGCTGGGACTACAGGTGTGCGCCACCACACCCGGCTAATTTTCGTATTTTTAGTAGAGACGGGGTTTCACCATGTTGGCCAGGATGGTCTCAAACTCTTGACCTCGTGATCCGTCCGCCTCGGCCTCCCAAAGTGCTGGGATTGCAGGCGTGAGCCACCGTGCCCGGCTGGGTTAGGGAATTCCATGGACCCCGGCCCCCCCCACAAACACACTGCGTCCCATGATCCTCTGCCCTGCTGAGGTCCCAGGAGGCTGCACCCTTTGGAATGCACACCCTGAGTGGAGGGGGAGGGAGGAGGATCCCAGGAGGTGGGGGCTGCCCTGGATTACACCGTCCGCCCCACTGGGAGCTTACCCTGCTGTCTGCTGTGAGCAGGGAGCAAACCTGATTTTTTTCTTCCCAAATAATCAAAGCAGGTCTCTCCCTGCCGGGCACTGTGGACGTTTTGTGTGGCTGAATCTCAGTCCTGGGCATTGCAGAGTGCTGAGCAGTGTCCCCGGCCTCCAACCACTCCACGCCAGGAGCACCCCCCAGCGGTGGCAACCACAAATGTCCCCAGACATTATATAATGTCCCCGGGGGGGCCTGGCATGGTGGCCCAGGCCTGCAATCCCAGCACTTTGGGAGGCCGAGGCAGGCGGATCTCCTGAGGTCAGGAGTTCGAGACCAGCCTGGCCAACATGGTGAAACCCCATCTCTACTAATAATACAAAAATGAGCCGGGCGTGGTGGCGGGCACATGTAATCCCAGCTATTCAGGAGGCTGAGGCAGGAGAATCGCTTGAACCTGGGAGGTGGAGGCTGCAGTGAGCTGAGATCACGCCCCCGCACTCACACCAGGGTTACAGGGTGAGACTCCGGCTGAAAATAAAAAATAAAAATAATAACGCCCCCAGGGGGCATCTGATCTGAAGCTTTCAGAATCCCAGCCTGCCCATCCATGGGGTTTAGGGCCCCCCAGCCCCGGCTCCCTGCGGCCCCCGCCCCTGCAGCCTCTGCCCCTCACTCGTCCAAAGCACACAGAGCAACCCACACAGGGCACGGAACAGAGGATCCACCACAGCCAGGAAGAGTCGAAGCATAGCTTGTTTTAATTTTTATACATTTTTTTTTAAATCTTTTATTGAATCTTTTATGGAATCCCCCTTTTTTCTGTTTTTTTCTTTTTTTTTTTTTTTGCATAGGGAACAAACAAACAAAGTAATGAACAGCCAGAGTCACTTTCTGTAAATGGTACTTAGTAGGCGCTCCTGCGAAAACCGAAATGACTGCGTAATATACAAGGTTATGATGGGAGCATGTGAGGGGCGGGGCGGGGGGAGGGCCGGCAGGTCTGCCCGCGTGTCCCCTTGTCCCCCTCCTGTCCTCGCTGTCTGTCGGGAGGAGCAGGAGGAGGGGGAGGGCGCGGCCCCAGCCGGAACCTTCTCTGGGTTGGGTTCACGAGCATTTCTGTGGGTGTGTGCGTGTGTGTTATCCGGTGCGCGGTAAGCAGGGCGCTAGGAGTAAACTATCCTGGTAATATCAGTAAAATACAAAACGGAAACGAACGAACTTCTCAAAGGGAAGAGGAAAGGAAAAGCGACAGCACTCAAACAGCAAGGGGGGAGAAAAAAAAAGAAAAAAAAAATACCCAAAGAGGAAAATGTCCTCTGCGTCCCTCCTCCCTGCTGCCCCCCGACCCCCCACTGTATCACCTGTCCCATCCTGGCCCCCCCAGAGCCTTTGCTTCTTTCCCTGTGTGAGGGTGCTCAGGGCTGGGTGGGCAGGAAGCTGGGGGCACAGGCTGGGACCCCAGGCTTGAGGGGACTTTGGTTTTGGGGGGGCCTGGCTGGGACCCAAGATGAGAGGATGGGGTATGGATGCAGCTGAGGGGCTGGGGCAGCCACTCTCCCCCTTTCGGAGGGTTCTCTTCCGGCCAGATGTGCGTGGAAGGCTGGGGGGGGGTGGCGGCTTGGGGGTGCATGACGTCCTTCCTCTCTGGAGCCCTTATTCCTGTGGGATCCCCTTCCTCCTTCCCGCCTCAGGTATGAGCAAGGCCTTGGTCCCTTCCTCCTTCCCGCCTCAGGTATGAGCAAGGCCTTGGGGAGGGGCTGCCAGGGAAAGGGGGGCAGGAGAATCTCAAGGCCACACCAGTGGACGTGCGAGGCACTGCTTGGGAAGTCTGTTTTGGTATCACTGGCGACAGGTCCTGCTGGCGTTGCTTTGGGTCCGCCTCCTCACCTTGCCCTGGGGGGAGGCCGAGGGTGGTGGACTGATCCCAGGCACTGAACCACTGAGCGACGGATGGGCAGTGGTATAGGTCTGGAGGTGAGACACTCAGGAGGTGTCCAATGGGGCAGAAACGGGGAAAGACGGGAGGATGCGGAGGAAGCTGGGTTGAGAGATGTATGTCCCAGCGCCCTCCAAAAAGCAAGCGAAGTCTGGGGTCTCAGAGAGAGAATCCAGGCCAAGATAAAAGGGGGCCACTGTATATTTTTGTATTATGACAAATTCCAAAATTACATATATATATATATATCTGTCTAGTACAGCCCTACACTGGAGGTCAAAGAACCACTGGGGAGGCCAGGGTGGGAGAGGCCTGCTTGCTGTCTCTTCTGGAGGGCTGGACAGTTGCTCCTGGCTCCAAGACCTGTCTTGCAAGGGACAGTGGGGTACATACAGCCCAGTCTGTCCGTGCCTGGGACGCTGCTGTCGCTGGGGACGGACACAAGGTCCTGGGGCAGGGAAGCTGGAATTGTCTGCTGCCTGGGGAGCTGCGGGGGGTCCAGGTCTGGCTTCTAAGCAGCTCTCCCAATCGAGTTCCCTTTGGCGTCCTTTGGGATCTGATTGTCTAGTCCAGGGTGGGGTTCTGGGGTCAGAACCTGGGCTCCAGACCTGGAGGTGACGGACTCCGGATCCCCCCTCCCGCAGTCAAGTAGGGCTGGGTCTTCCTACTCCCCCACGCCCCATCTCCACCCCGGTTGGTGTCAAGTGTCTCCACCCAGAGAAAGGATGGAGACGATTTGCATATATTTGGGAAGCCTCCCTATAAGACCCCAGAATGAGACCAGGGTGCTTGGCATGAGTGTGGTGCCCACCACAGGGGTGGGTGATGGGGGCTTCGGGAGGGGGTGGGACAGGTTCAAGATGTCAGTTTCATACATGTAAAAAAAAACAAAAACCAAAAAAAAAACTCACCACCAAAACCCACACCTTGCCCTCCACCCAGGGATGAGGCACCCCTTCTGTGAACTGCAGAGGTGGGCATGGAATCCTGGTTCCTGGTGTTTTTGTCTGTCTGCAGCTAGGTGCCCAGGAATTGTACCCTATGGCGATCCTGTAGCTTTTCCAAGAAATGGGGGGGGGGGGGAGAAACGAAGCTATCCACAATGTGCCGCCCAGCATGGGTTTCCCTGCTGTGCTCAGCAAAGGTGCTCAGTGAGCCCAGGATGCAAGCTTGGGGTGAGGAGGGCGGCGCCCGGCCTTCCTTCTGCAGGGGCCCTGGGCCCCGGGTGTGGGCTGTGCAGGGACGTGATGGTCCCAGCAGCGATGGTGCCACCCATTCCCTTTGCTGCTGGTTGTTCCCAGGTCCCGGGCAAGACGATTTGCTCAGGAGGGGAAGAAAAAAGCTGGACATCAGCGACGTGGATGGTGCACACAGCCAGCCTGGGCTCTCTGGCTGAGGGACAGTTCTTAACGGTAATGCCGTGGCCAGCTGTGGGGGCTTGGGCTCTCCCTGTGTCACCTGGGGAGACTGCTGAGGTGTCTTTTTGGAAGAAAACATGGGGTGAGTGTATGATGGTGGCTGTGGAGACCACCCGGCACCCTGACGGCGGGCAATGGTGAATGGAGGGGACCATCTGTGTGGGTCCCTGCATGAGATGCCCGGGGGTGTCAAGCACTGCAGGAACCGCCTAACGCTGGGGCATCGCACCCCGGGTCCTCCCTGCCTGGCTGCCCCACTAACCATCTGGCTATTGTCTTAGCTTTGGTCAAGAAAAAAGCAAAGGAAGCTGGAGTTCGAAAGAAAGAGAAAGAACAAGAGAAAGAATCAAGACAACAGCATGGTCAGCCACCAGACCACGGCCCGCGACTCGGTGCCGCCTGGCTGTCCCTGTGCCCTGCCGGACCCTCGGCGGGGCCTCGGGTGGCTGAGCCAGGCCAAGGGTATAGACACACAGATATTGCATATATCAGGTTTTGTTTTTTTGTTTCGTTCCTATTCACAGCTGGAAGACGGAAGACAGGGCAAAGGGGACAAAGAAGAGGGTGGTCTCCGGATAGGGGAGAAGCAGGTCCTTTGGCAAGAAGGGGGGGGTGCACGGGGCGGGGGAGAGGGGGTGCCTCTGAGGTGGGAGCAGGACAGCATTTGACCCTGAGCTGGGGGGACGCCAGCATGCAAGGTGGGGAGGGGGAGTCTGGCCGCCCTACAGTTGCGGGGGAATGGCCTGCAGTGGGTCAGTGAATGGTGTCTGGGGGCCAGCCCATGGCCCAGGACCAATCGGAGAGGAGAGACCTTCCCGGGGACCAGGATGAGCCCCGGAGGTCTGTCCTCTGGGCACCGAGAGCAGGGCCGGGGGTGGTAGAGGCTGAGCACCAGGGGGCGCCCCTGAGTACAGCGGGAGGGGAGACAGGACAGAGGGGAGCCAGGGGACCGGGTGTTTCTTCCTTTTTTTTTTTTTAAAGATTCTCACTTTCTTATTTTTTATTTTTATTATTATTATTTTTTTACAAATAGAAATACATCCCTTTTCAATTTTTATTTTTTTATTTCATGTCACTGTTTTGTCTTTTTTTTTAACTACACGAGCAGAACATGCAGCTATGTGTGTGCGCTGATATTGTTTAAAGGTAATACTCTCGGAAGGCAAGGCACATTTTGTGGTAGAAAATTTCGTGCAAATTAGGAAACATGGAATTTTTTTTAAGGTTTTTTTTTTTGTATCTTTTTTTTTTTTTTTTTAAGAGGGAGTTGGGAGTGGAGGGGGGCGAGGGGGAGGGAGATAGAGCCAGGTATCGTCTGCCATGCATGTGTCAGCGCCGCCAGCTGACCTCAGGGGCCAGGACACAGGAGTCCTTGACTAAGCACCATGCAAAGTTAGGTAAAGAGTTGGTTCTCGATGCGCCCTGACCCCTTGGGAGCCCGGCTGGCCCCCACTTGCACCCCACGACCCCCACCCTGGCTGAGAAGCTTCCAGATACTCCAACAGCACGACCCTACCCCCCGCCCACACCCGCCCTCCTGGAGAGCGGCTCACGCTTTGGTCCCCAAGGGCCACCGGTGGAGGGGGGCCAGGGCCCTGAGGACAGACGGACGGACCAAGGGATTGAGGCCAGAGGATGGAGAACCTCTCTCGGGGTGACAGGGAAGGGTCCTGGGTCTTTCTCTTTGGGAGCGAGTGTGTTCGCCAAGCCCCTGGGGCTGGTTTGGGAGGAGAGTCTGGTTTTCGGGACAGGTGGTGGGGGTCGGGGTGAGGCTGGGAGCAGGTGAGACCCGGAGACCCTGCCCTGGCTTTGGCCCTGGGTGGGGGCTGTGGTGGGGGGGTTTCTCCCTAGGCATGGAGGTCAGTTGGGGGTGGGCTGGGAGAGGGGTCCTTGTGTTTGAGCTCGGTGGCCCTAAAACACCTAACCCCCCCTCCCAGGCCTCCCCTAAAGATGGCGATCCCGGGGTGGAGGTGGAGGTGTGGGTGGGGCCGGGGGGTGGGGTGGGGGAACCTGGCGTCCCCAGCTTAGTGTTTTTGGAGCGGCTCAACGGAAAACGCTTAGCAGATGGAAGGCCCCCTACACGGCCGCGGGGGGCCCCGAGGTGCGACGCCGAAGCCCCGCCCAAAGCCCTCCCCATCCCGAGCGAGGACCCACTGGCGCCGGCCTCCTCTCACCTCGGGGACCCAGCCGGGAGTCGCATCCTCCCAGCTGAGCCCCCTGCGGGGGGCGGACGATGAAAGTGCAAACGGGCCCCCTGGGCTGGGAGGCACCGGGGAGGGAGGTCGCTCCAGAATGTAAGGCACTGGCAGCGGAGGCGTGGGGGGCGCTGGCAGGGGAGGGCAGGACGCTCGGGAGGTGACGCCCAGCTCTGCCCCTTGGCCGCACAGGGGCCCCGTCTCTCTAGCTCTGAGGGGGACACGGCGATGAGGGGTGACTGGAGGGGCCAGTGGGGGGACTGGAGGGGTGGGGGAGGAGGCCCATGGCCACTCCGTGTCCCAGCTGGACAAAGGGGGGGGCGGGTGGTGGGAATCAGGCACTTAAACCACTCGCTCTCACCTCCCACCGCCAGGGACTCATGGGGGGCTCCAGACGGGCACCCCCCAACTCGGGGAGCTCTGGGTGTCCCGGCTCCCCCGTCCCCTTCCTCGGAAAGTGCATTTCTTACAGTGTGTGCAATGTGGGTCCCTCCCTTTGGGGGTGTGAGCTGGGCAAGCTGGGGTGGGGGGCCTCCGGTGCGGGGTGGGGTCAATTGCATAGAGACTTCTCCTCCCAAACGGGCGGGCGCGAGGGCTGAGAGTCCCCAGCCGGACAGCTGTCTCGAGTCGGCCGGCGCTTTGGGAGGGCGTGTGGGGAGGCCGCACGGCAGGCAGGACCCGCTGGAGGGGCAGCAGGTGCCTGGGCCTCGCTTCCTCCCCTGGCCAGGGCCACGAAACGCCACACACCCCCTGGACATCGCCACTCGCCTGCCCCACCCTGTCCACCTCTGAGGTGTCCGCTGCCCAGCAGGGGTCCGCAGCATCTCCCTTCCCCCTAGCAGCTGCGTCCTGGGGGAGGGGGCCGGTCCATGTCCGGCAGAGGTGCGGGCCCCGGGAGAGGTGGCCTTGCTGGGTGTCACGCCTGTCGGCCCTGGGTGCAGGCTCCAGGCTGCGCTCACCTGGTCTCCTCCAGACAGTCAGGGCCTCGGGGGCGTGGGTGGGCGGCGGGTGTCTGTCCTTCCCGAGCAGCAGGCGGAGAGATGAGTGACTGAGGAAGACGCCCCTGTCCCGGGGCTCCCGTGGGGTGGCGGGGCTGGCCCTCCAGTCCTGCGGCCTCGGCATCCAGAGAGCTGGAAACGTGTCTTTACCTTTTGTCTTCTTGGTTGGGTGGGTTTATTTTTCCTTCTTTTTTCCTTTGTATCTTTCTTTCCCTCCTGCGCATTTGTGTCTGTGTGTTCTGTCTTTTCGGCCGGGCTGGGAGTCGGCAGGGTGTCCTTGTTCACCGAAAACGTGGGCCGGGGGCCGGCTGTGCTGCCCCCCGGGATTCCTGGGACGATGGAGAAGGGGCAGGGGAAGAAGACCTTTGCTATCCCAGATACCAGGACTGAGCAGGCCCAGCGGCGACAGAGGGAGGGGGGAGAGAGAAAGGGAAAGAGAAAGAGAGACAGAGAGAGAGAGAGAAGTTGAGGGGTCAGACTCTGCCCGGACACGGTTTACCTCTTCCCACACCCACCCCTCACCTCCTGTAACCCTGATACCTCAGTTTCCCTACCCCAGCCTGTAACAACCTGCTGGGTGAGCAAGTGACTCTGCCTCTGAGCAAGGTGGCCAGACACAGTGCAGGTTCCCAGTGATACGAATTCTAAGTTAACCCAAAATCTTTTTCGTATAAGTCTAGCCCATGCGAGACTGGGGAGGTACTTACACCAAGAAAAAAAAAAAGGGTGCGGCCGGGCGCGGTGGCTCACGCCTGTAATCCAAGCACTTTCCAGGCCAAGGCGGGCAGGTCGCCTGAGGTCGGGAGTTCAAGACTAGCCTGACCAACATGGTGAAATCCCGTCTTTAAAAAATAAATAAATAAAATAAAAAGAAAAAAAAAAAGGGTCAATTTATCTGGAACTGTGTTTTATATCTGATCTATTATTTCATTATTTTTTTGAGACGCAGTTTAACTCGTGTTACCCAGGCTGGAGTGCAATGGCGAGATCTCAGCCCACTGCAACTTCTGCCCCCTGGGTTCAAGCGATTCTCCTGCCCCAGCCTCCCGAGTAGCTGGGACTACAGGCACACGCCACCATGCCCAGCCAATTTTTGTATTTTCTTCTTCTTTTTTTGAGACAGAGTCGTGCTCTGTCGCCCAGGCTGGAGTGCAATGGCGCGATCTCGGCTCGCTGCAACCTCCGCCTCCTGGGTTCAGGCGATTCTCCTGCCTCAGCCTCCTGAGCGGCTGGGACCACAGACATGTGCCACCATGTCCAGCTGATTTTCATATTTTTAGTAGACGGGATTTCACCATGTTGGCCTGGCTGGTCTCAAACTCCTGACTTCAGGTGATCCACCCGAAGGGCTGGGATTACAGGCATGAACCACCGTGCCTGTCTTTATTTGTATTTTAAGAAGTATTTATTATTTAATTTTTATTTATTTAGTTTTTGAGACAGAGTCTTGCTCTGTCGCCCAGGCTCAGGTGCAGTGGTATGATCCTGGCTCTCTACAACCTCCGCCTCCCGGGTTCACGTGATCCTTGCACCTCGGCCTCCCCGGTAGCTGCGATTACAGGCGCGCCCGCCACGCCCCGCTAATGTGTATGTTCTTAGCAGATGGGAATTCGCCATGTTGGCAGGGCTGGTCTTGAATTTCTGGCTTCAAGTGATGCGTCCACGCTGGCCTCCCACAGTGCTGGATTACAGGCGTGAGTGACACGCCGTGGCTGGCCAGTTTATCATCTCATTTTACTTTGAGACGGGATCTCGCTCTGTTGCCCAGGCCGGAGTGCAGTGGTGCGAGCAGAGGTTCACTGCAGCCTAGACCTCCTGGGCTCGAGCGATCCTCCCACCTCAGCCTCCCAAGTAGCTGGGGCCACAGGTGCGCACCACCACACCTGGCTAGTGGTTTTTTTTTTTTTTTGTAGAGACAGGGTTTCGCCACATTGCCCAGGCTGGCCTCGAACTCCTGCCTCCCAAGTGTTAGGATTACAGACGTGAGCCACCGCACTGGCTGCCTGGTTTACTTTTTAAAGGATTTTTGTTGTTGAGGTTTTGAGACGGAGTCTTGCTCTTGTGGCTCAGGCTGGAGTGCAATGGCGTGATCTTGGCTCACTGCAACCTCTGCCACCCAGGTTCAAGGGATTCTCCTGCCTCAGCCTCCGAGTAGCTGGGATTACAGTTGCCCACCACCGCACCGGGCTAAATTTGTGTTTTTGGTAGAGACGGGGTTTCACCATGTTCCCCAGGCTGGTCTCAAACTCCTAACTTCAGGTGATCCACCCGCCTTGGCCTCCCAAAGTGCTGGGATTACAGGCCACCTCACGTGGCCTCTCACTTACTTTTTAAAAGCATTCTCCCCTTCAGTGATCCCCCAGCACCCCTGTAAAGGAGGGAGTAGGTCTCCCTCCACTGCCCTGTTTTGCGTGAAGTAAGTGAGGCCCAGAGAGGTCACGGAACTTGCCGGAGGTCACCAGCACGGAGTGGCAGAGTGGGCGCGGGAAATCATGAGCGTCTGGCTCCGGCCCTCATTTCTGCTCCTGCCTGGGGCCAACCCCCTAGCCTGCCTCTCAGGACCCCCTTGGCATCATCTGGGCACTGTCCTGGGAGTCCAGGGCCCATCCTGTCACAGGACGCCCAGATGGCCCCCCCACCCCACAGAAGCTCAGGAAGCACATGGAAGCTGAGAATGGCTCTCAACCTCTCAGAGGCAGGAGACCGAGGCTCAGGGAGGGGGATCTGCACGGGGCTGGACCCAGGGTCACGTGATCTGGGGACAGCTCCGGCCTCAGTCTCTGCAGAGAAGCTGCTGTACAGACCCCTGTCCCGGAAATGCAAACTCCAACCCCCATGGAGCCTCCAGCGTGGCTAGTGAGGGGAGGGCTATGCCTCCGGACCTGGGGAGACCCCTCCAGTCCCCCATGAGGTTAGAGGCAGGGCTGCCCCCACCCCTGCGGCAAATCATTCAACGGAGCCCCTCCAACCACGCCTCCAACCACACCACGCCCCCAACCACGCCACGCCTCCAACCACGCCACGCCTCCAACCACGCCACGCCCCCAACCACGCCGCCGCTGGGCCAGACCATCTAACTGGCGCCACCGTGGTTCCCAGCGCCCCACCTCCAGCCAAGTTCAAGTTCATCTTGGCCATTACCTCATGTCTGGTTTCTGTTGGCAACCGACAGACTCTGGGCGTGACCCTCCCGTCGTGGACCAGCCTCCCCTGAGCCCGTCCTCCCTCCCCTCCCCTCCCCTCCCTGCCTGGCTCCGGCCCCAGCAATGGTTCGGTGGGGGGCACCCTCAACTCCACATCCTCCCCCTCAGCCAAGGGGTGACGGAAGCAGGGAGGTGGCGGGTGTGAGGAGTGAGGTCCAGCTCTGGCATCCTGCTGGCCTGGCTTCAGCCGCCTGTGTGGCTCCTGGCATGTGGCTCAACACCCCCCTGCCCCCCACCCTTGGTTGACCCACCTGCTACGTGGGCTCCCATGCAGAGAAATACGGAGGGGACATCACAGAGGGGAGGGGCTGGGGCGTCAGATCTACCCCGTCTCACTGTGGGGGATTGATGGGGAAGGACATGGGGGGATGGGCAGGCAACTGACCAGGGTGAGATCAATTAACATTGATCGGGGGAGGGATATTGATGGGGGAGAGTCCGTGGACTGGAGGATGTCGGGAGCTGGAGAGGCGCAGGGAAAGGGGTGCCCGCCCAGGCCTGGGGGAGGAGGGGGCAGAGGGAAGCGAGGAATAGAGGCGGAGGAGACAGAAGTGCTGACTGGCCAGAATTGGAAATCAGAGGACTGGGAGCTCAGGGCCCTCTGAGCGGGAGTGGGGAGCGGGGAGCCGGCAGTGGGGAGAGCGGGGTCTCACTGCTCCTTCCCTCCCTCTCCGGGGTCTACAGGGAGGCGGTGGCACCCCGGGTGCTTTCAGTTCAAAGACTGGGGTCCAGTCTGGGAGGCACCGTTGGGGTCCTCCCCAGACCTGCCCTCCCTGGACACCCAGTTTGGAGACATCACCCCCCCAACCCATGCTCCCCTGAGAGCCTCCTGACAATATGTCACCTCCCTTCTGAGCCCCAGAAAGCTCTGACTCCAAGGCCTGGCGGGTGGCCCCTCCCTCCCTCTAAATTCTTCTATGGCTCCCCACTATCCCAGAGCTAAGCCCATGCCATCTCTCTGGCCCCTGCTGCCAGAGGTCTCCATATTCCAGCGTTTCCCACACCCCCCCCCACACCACTGCCTATGCACAGCCCCCTACCAGTGCCCCTCCCCACCCCATTCCACCAGCCCTGGTCCCATCCCTTCTGGGTCCCCAGAGGGGTCCAGTGGATCAAGAGAGGGATGCTGAGAAATGTGCCGCCCTCGCTTGCCTCAGTTTCCCTCCCCTCTCAGCCTCGGGTGGGGCGGGGCTGGAGCCAGCGCAGTGTGAGAGGGGGGCCCACCCCGGCCCTGGCGGGGAGGGCCAGGTCAGAGAGTTTGGTCCAGGCAGAGGCTGGGGAAGGGTTAAGTGGGCTGGGCCTCCTCCCTCTGCCCGCTTCGGTTTCTGAACCACTTAAGGACATTCCCAGCCTCCCGCAGGGGCAGGGAGAGGTGCCGGTGGGGGAGGCAGAGGCAACTCGGGGCTCCATCAGCACCCGGCAGGGGAGAGGGGGCCAAATCTCAAAGCGGGGAGTCCTGGATGTCTACCTTGGGGGCTCTCCAACTCACTGAGGGACCCTGAGCAAGTCACTCCCCTCTCCAGGGCTCTGTGGGTACAAGGAAGGGTGCTTAACATTTAGGGGGTGTGGGGAAGTCTGAACCTTTCAGTACCCTTTCTGTCCCCCAGTGCCAAAGGCTCTTGGTGCAGGTGCCCATGGCTAGAGGAAGAGACAGAGGTTCAGAGTGGGTAAACCAGGGCTGGGCTGGAGGCCTGGCTCCTGACCCAGGATTCCCTCCACCCACAGCACACGGGAATCCTCCCAACTCAGGAGAAGGAGCCTCAAGTCCTCTGCTGCCTGCTTCCTCCTCCGGCTGGTGTTGGGGCCCAGGGCTCACCCGGGAGGAGAGGGATGTGCCACCTACAGGCTTCCTGGGCACCCAGCACAGGAAGGGAGGGGGAATGCCACCTCCCCTCCCCCGGGGCTGGCTCAGCCAGGACCCTTGCTGTGGGCTCTGCAGCAGAAAACCTCCGGCGGTGGCCAGAAGATTAGAAGACGGCCCCTGGGGACCCCACCCCCCACCCCCACGCTCTGCAGTTCTGCGGCTGCTGGGGAGCCCAGAGCTGCGTTCTCTGCGTCTGGTCTCTGTGCCTGAGGCAGCTGCCCCTGCGACCCTGCCCCCTCCACCCTCTCCCCAGCACAAACCTGGAAGGCGGGAGGCTCAAAGGTCGGCCGCTTACCATAACCCAGACTGGCTCACACACTCCTGGCCGCAGGGGCACAGAGGAGAGGCCACCACTGGGGTGGGGGTGGGGGACACCTGGGCCTGGGGCTACGCTGCCCTCCCACAGCCCCCTCCCCAGGAAGCTGGGATTCACTTCCCCTCTCTGAGCCTCCTGTTAACCGCCTGCCTGCCTGCCTTCTGGGGATGGTGAGACCCAGCTCATGCTCTCAGCTGCAGCCATCTGAACGGGGAACGGGGAACGTGGGGCCAGCCCTGCCCCATCCTGTCTGCCTTACTGATGACGCCTCTCCGCCCCCACCCCTCACACTTGCTCTGTTGTGGGCTGAAGCCTGGGGTGGGGCTTGGATGCTGTCTTGGGAGGCCCCACACGCCACCATGGACTGCCTCAGTTTCCCCCAGCCACCCCATGGTCCCTCTAGGCCTCGGCATGGAGGGGACGGAGGTTGGGGAGGTATGAAGCCCTGTGTGACCCTGGGCAGATCCTTTTAACTCTCCGGGCCTCAGTTTTCCCATCTGTACAATGGGAAGCAGCTGGTAATGACCCTGGTCCCATAGCTCTGCCATGACGGTCTCTAGGGGCCACACCCCATCCTCCCAGGACCAAGGTGGAGGGATATCTGGCCTCAAGGAGAGGCCAGGCGGAGGCTCAAGGCCTGGGTGGGGTGTGGGAGGCTGGCACCCCTATGCCGGGGAGTATGGCGTGGGACCCAGCAGGCCCTCTTTGCCCTGAGCCCCCCGGGGCCGGCCCCTCTGCCCTGCCCCTCCCGCCCCCCCAGCCGGCCTCTTGGCCCCTACCTGTGCCTGATAAATGCCCGCAGGATCCCTTGGTCCTAATCCCACAAAGGAACGGTTTGCAGGGGGCGTGTCTGGCGGAGGGTAGGCTGCGGGAGGAGAGAGACCGAGAGCCGTTAGCGAGGGGCCGCCTCCGCACCCGGTGCCTGGGGCCTCGGAGCCTGCTGCCCTCCCCTGGCTGAACCGGGCCCCCTTCAAAGGCCTGAGGTCCCTGGTAGGTGGGGATCCTGACTGGAGGGGCCCAGGGGTCACGGCTGGCTGAGATCGCCCAGGTGGGCGGGGCGTCTGCTGAGAGGGAAGGCGGGGAGGATGGCTCCATACTTCACGACCCGCCCGTGAATGACCCAGGGTGTGCCAGTGCCCACCCCGTCCTGCCTCTGTGCAGGGCGCATGCATTACTGAGGGCGTCTGATTTATTAACCTTCCTCCCGGGGAGGGCAGAGGGAGGGCTGGGGGTGCGTACACAGATGGGCGCATTCACATTTCAAGTCTCAGCCATTATGTTCCGCCAGCGTGTGAGTAACTCACCCCCGGTGCCACGGCGGGGACGGGGGCCGCAGACAGGCCCGGGCCCGAAACAGGCAGGGTCCCCAAGTTGTCTTGGCTAGGGTTGGGGGGAGCTGGAGGCAGCCAGGCTTAGGGGGAGAAGTGGGGTGCATCTGCAGTTAAGAGCCCCACTGCAGGGAAAGGGGGGTGGAATCCATGCCTATCCTGCCTTTATTAAGTGTCTACTGTATGCCAGGCACTAGCCATGATCACACCGAGCCCTGAGCGGATCCTACACAGTGTCCTGCATCTATTAAGTGTCTACTCTATGCCAGGCACTGGACATAATCCCACTGAGCTCTGAGTGGATTCTATGCAGCATCCTGCATCTATTAAGTGTCTACTGTATGCCAGGCACTGGACATAATCCCACTGAGCCCTGAGTGGATTCTATGCAGCATCCTGCATCTATTAAGTGTCTACTGTATGCCAGGCACTGGACATAATCCCACTGAGCCCTGAGTGGATTCTATGCAGCATCCTGCATCTATTAAGTGTCTACTGTATGCCAGGCACTGGACATAATCCCACTGAGCTCTGAGTGGATTCTATGCAGCATCCTGCATCTATTAAGTGTCTATTGTATGCCAGGCACTGAGCACAATCCCACTGAGCCCTGAGTGGACCCTACGCAGTATTCTGCATCTGTTAAGTATCTACTGTATGCCAGGCACTGGGTACAATCCCAGAGCCCTGAGTGGACCCTACGCAGTATTCAGCATCTGTTAAGTATCTACTGTATGCCAGGCACTGGACATAATCCCACTGAGCTCTGAGTGGATTCTATGCAGCATCCTGCATCTATTAAGTATCTACTGTATGCCAGGCACTAGGTACAATCCCAGAGCCCTGAGTGGACCCTACGCAGTATTCAGCATCTGTTAAGTATCTACTGTATGCCAGGCACTGAGCACAATCCCACTGAGCCCTGAGTGGACCCTATGCAGTATTCAGCATCTGTTAAGTATCTACTGTATGCCAGGCACTGGACATAATCCCACTGAGCTCTGAGTGGATTCTATGCAGCATCCTGCTTCTATTAAGTGTCTACTGTATGCCAGGCACTGGACATAATCCCACTGAGCCCTGAGTGGACCCTACGCAGTATTCTGCATCTGTTAAGTATCTACTGTATGCCAGGCACTGGACATAATCCCACTGAGCTCTGAGTGGATTCTATGCAGCATCCTGCTTCTATTAAGTGTCTACTGTATGCCAGGCACTGGACATAATCCCACTGAGCCCTGAGTGGACCCTACGCAGTATTCTGCATCTGTTAAGTATCTACTGTATGCCAGGCACTGGACATAATCCCACTGAGCCCTGAGTGGACCCTACGCAGTATTCTGCATCTGTTAAGTATCTACTGTATGCCAGGCACTGGACATAATCCCACTGAGCCCTGAGTGGATTCTATGCAGCATCCTGCTTCTATTAAGTGTCTACTGTATGCCAGGCACTGAGCACAATCCCACTGAGCCCTGAGTGGACGCTACACGGAATCCTGCATCTATTAAGTGTCTACTGTATGCCAGGCACTGGGCATAATCCCATTGACCTCTGAGTGGATTCTATGCAGCATCCTGCATCTGTTAAGTATCTACTGTATGCCAGGCACTGAGCACAATCCCACTGAGCCCTGAGTGGACCCTACGCAGTATTCAGCATCTGTTAAGTATCTACTGTATGCCAGGCACTGGACATAATCCCACTGAGCTCTGAGTGGATTCTATGCAGCATCCTGCATCTGTTAAGTGTCTACTGTATGCCAGGCACTGAGCACAATCCCACTGAGCCCTGAGTGGACCCTACGCAGTATTCAGCATCTGTTAAGTATCTACTGTATGCCAGGCACTGGACATAATCCCACTGAGCTCTGAGTGGATTCTATGCAGCATCCTGCATCTGTTAAGTGTCTACTGTATGCCAGGCACTGAGCACAATCCCACTGAGCCCTGAGTGGACCCTACGCAGTATTCAGCATCTGTTAAGTATCTACTGTATGCCAGGCACTGGACATAATCCCACTGAGCTCTGAGTGGATTCTATGCAGCATCCTGCTTCTATTAAGTGTCTACTGTATGCCAGGCACTGGACATAATCCCACTGAGCCCTGAGTGGACCCTACGCAGTATTCTGCATCTGTTAAGTATCTACTGTATGCCAGGCACTGGACATAATCCCACTGAGCCCTGAGTGGACCCTACGCAGTATTCTGCATCTGTTAAGTATCTACTGTATGCCAGGCACTGGACATAATCCCACTGAGCCCTGAGTGGATTCTATGCAGCATCCTGCTTCTATTAAGTGTCTACTGTATGCCAGGCACTGGACATAATCCCACTGAGCCCTGAGTGGACCCTACGCAGTATTCTGCATCTGTTAAGTATATACTGTATACCAGGCACTGGACATAATCCCACTGAGCCCTGAGTGGACCCTACGCAGTATTCAGCATCTGTTAAGTATCTACTGTATGACAGGCACTGGACATAATCCCACTGAGCTCTGAGTGGATTCTATGCAGCATCCTGCATCTGTTAAGTATCTACTGTATGCCAGGCACTGGACATAATCCCACTGAGCTCTGAGTGGATTCTATGCAGCATCCTGCATCTATTAAGTGTCTACTGTATGCCAGGCACTGAGCACAATCCCACTGAGCCCTGAGTGGACCCTACACAGTATTCAGCATCTGTTAAGTATCTACTGTATGACAGGCACTGGACATAATCCCACTGAGCTCTGAGTGGATTCTATGCAGCATCCTGCATCTATTAAGTGTCTACTGTATGCCAGGCACTGAGCACAATCCCACTGAGCCCTGAGTGGACCCTACGCAGTATTCAGCATCTGTTAAGTATCTACTGTATGCCAGGCACTGGACATAATCCCACTGAGCCCTGAGTGGATTCTATGCAGCATCCTGCTTCTATTAAGTGTCTACTGTATGCCAGGCACTGGACATAATCCCACTGAGCCCTGAGTGGACCCTACGCAGTATTCTGCATCTGTTAAGTATATACTGTATACCAGGCACTGGACATAATCCCACTGAGCCCTGAGTGGACCCTACGCAGTATTCAGCATCTGTTAAGTATCTACTGTATGACAGGCACTGGACATAATCCCACTGAGCTCTGAGTGGATTCTATGCAGCATCCTGCATCTGTTAAGTATCTACTGTATGCCAGGCACTGGACATAATCCCACTGAGCTCTGAGTGGATTCTATGCAGCATCCTGCATCTATTAAGTGTCTACTGTATGCCAGGCACTGAGCACAATCCCACTGAGCCCTGAGTGGACCCTACACAGTATTCAGCATCTGTTAAGTATCTACTGTATGACAGGCACTGGACATAATCCCACTGAGCTCTGAGTGGATTCTATGCAGCATCCTGCATCTATTAAGTGTCTACTGTATGCCAGGCACTGAGCACAATCCCACTGAGCCCTGAGTGGACCCTACGCAGTATTCAGCATCTGTTAAGTATCTACTGTATGCCAGGCACTGGACATAATCCCACTGAGCTCTGAGTGGATTCTATGCAGCATCCTGCATCTATTAAGTGTCTACTGTATGCCAGGCACTGAGCACAATCCCACTGAGCCCTGAGTGGACCCTACACAGTATTCAGCATCTGTTAAGTATCTACTGTATGCCAGGCACTGGACATAATCCCACTGAGCTCTGAGTGGATTCTATGCAGCATCCTGCTTCTATTAAGTGTCTACTGTATGCCAGGCACTGAGCACAATCCCACTGAGCCCTGAGTGGACCCTACACAGTATTCTGCATCTGTTAAGTATCTACTGTATGCCAGGCACTGGACATAATCCCATTGAGTCCTAAGTGGATACGACACAGTATCCTGCATCTATTAAGTATCTACTGTATGCCAGGCACTGGGCATAATCCCACTGAGCCCTGAGTAGATCCTATGCAGTATCGTGCATCTGTTAAGTATCTACTGTATACCAGGCACTGGACATAATCCCACTGAGCCCTGAGTAGATCCTACGCAGTATCCTGCATCTATTAAGCGTCTACTGTATACATTGGGCATAATCCCACTGAGCTCTGAGCAGATACTATGCTATATCCTGCATCTATTAAATGTCTACTGTATGCCAGGCACTGGGTATAATCCCACCGAACCCTGAGTGGCTCTTACGTGGCATCTTACATCTATTAAGTGTCTACTGTATGCCAGGCAGTGGGCAGAATCCCATGGAGCCCTGAGCGAATCCTATGCAGTCAGTGCTCCCATTTCACAGAGGAGCAGGCAGAGACGGCTGGTGAGAATTACCACAGCCACCTGACACAGCACAGCATCGGACGCCACACAGAATGTCCTCCCTGACCCATGTCACCAGCTTATTCCCCACCACCCTGTGAAGTGGGCACCAAGGTGGACCCATTTTGCAGCTGAGAAAGCTGAGGCTCAGAGAGGGGAAGATGCCTGCCTGAGGTCACACCGGGAGAGAGCTGCAGAGGTGGGATTCCAGCCCAGGGTGGATTTGGGACTGACCCCCTCCAGCCAGTAATCAGAAGCCAGTTTTTACCAGCTGGCAGCCCCGGTTCTGGCAGGCAGTGGGGACAGGAAAAGGAACGCCGGGGCAGGGGAAGAGGAGCCAAGGACGCCTAGAAGGAGCCGGGGCCACCACTGCTCAAGAGGGCTGTGGGGGTCCCACTTGGAGAGTGAGGGACAGAGATGTTCAAAAAGAGGGGTGAGGGGAAGATGGAGTCCTCTCCAGGGGGAGAGGTCTCCAGGCCCTGAGATGTCTGGCGGCCTGTGAGGGTGGGTGACCCAGCCAAGCCTGCAGAGGGGTTGCAGGGAGAGTCTGCAGGCAGAGCTGCTGCAGACGAACTCCACATGGATCCTACGTGGTGTCCTGTATCTATTAAGTGTCTACGGTATACACACGCTGGGATCCCAGGACCGAGGGGCCGTCCAGCGGCCATCCAGAACCAAATCCAGAGAGTGGAAAAGTCTAGAAGCTGCAGCGGCCACCGACCCAGGGGCTTCCGGGTGAGGTGGCAGGTGAAGAGGGTCTTATCTAAAGGTGTGCTCCAGCCAGGTCACCCAAAGGAACTGGGCCTGATGTGGCTCATTTCTCCCCAAGAAGCCAGAACTCCAGAAAATTTTATGTGAAACGTCCTGATTTTAAAACGATCACACTGATTCTCCTTTTCCACAAACGAAAGACCAGTCTGGGGGTCGAGTCTGGCCCCTGGGCTGCCATCTGAGATCTGTGTCCACCGTCAGCTTCCTGACACACCAGGGAAGGTTTTCAGCAGCCCGCGGCGGGCACTGGGCTCCCCCAGGCTACTCAGCAAAGGGGACAGACCCTGGACTCTCACCCTGGGCCGTGGCTTGGTCCTGCCAGCCCCTAAGGCTGCCTCGGCCCTACGTGGCCAGACCACACGGCCCCTGGGCTGCTCTCCGGAGACCCACCAAACTCGCCAGGTCCTGCAGGGCTGGGCCTGACCTCTGACCTGGCAGTGGGGCTGGGGAGAGGACAGGCCTCCCTGCGGATGTCCGCCCCACCAGGGCACCGCTTCCCACGTGCTTACAGGGCGAGGTCGGCGACGTGGCTCCTCCCTCGGAGGTGGTGGCGGGTTTGGTGGCAGGGGGGAGCGCCAGCCGTGGCAGCCCCGGGGGCGGAGGAGCCAGCATCTGAGCGGAAAGGCAGTGGCTGGGCATTTTGAGCTGACCACTTCCATTTAACTGGGGGAACAGAGAGACACATGGTTAAGGAGTGGGCTCCCCTCTGCCTCGTCTGCTGGCGCCGGCCGCCCCCGGCTCTGTGCACGGCCCAGGCGGGGAAGCTAGCAGGCTGGGGGGCCAGGGCGCGGGTGTGGCCGTGACGGGTTTGGTGGGTCTGAGGGGCCTGGTGACACCCGCTTCCCGGTGTCACTCGAAGCCCGGCACTGCTGGGGCCTCGCTCACTGCCTCTCCCCCGTAAGCCCCCTGCACAGCAACTCAACCGATTTCCTTCCAAACAGCGCCACGCCTCCTCACAGCAAGTCCTCCGCGTGCTCCTCCATCGCCCACGGCCTGGCCCGTGGTTCCAAAGTCCAAAAACCTCTGACACCCAAAGCTTCCTGTGGAAGTCTGGCAACAGCCGGCTCGCTTCAACCGAGTTTGGTAGTTTTTTGGCAATTAATTTCTTCCTGCCCTTTTCTTGCTTTCTTTCTTTTTCTGCTGAATCCTAACCACTAGACCACCAGGGATTTTTTCTTTTTGAGATAAGGTCTTGCTCTGTCACCCAGGCTGGGGTGCAGTGGCACAATCACAGCTCACGGCAGCCTCCACCTCCCAGGCTCAAGCGATCCTCCCACCTCAGCCTCTTCAGTAGCTGGGACTACAGGCGCACACCACCACGCCTGGCTAATTTTAAGTATTTTTGTAGAAACCGGGGTCACGCTCTGTTGCCCAGGCTGGTGTTAAAAGCTGCGCTTATGCAGTCCGCCTTGGCCACCTGAAGTGCTGGGATCACAGGCGTGAGCCGCTAGGCCTGGTCCCTTTCTGCCTTGTTAACCCGAGGACGACCCACGCCGTTGCTGGGACCTGCACAGGCCACCCAGACCCCACGGGGTTCGACACGCCTCGTCTGAAACCCTCACGTAGGAAAGCATCTCAATTCTTACCCAATCCGGCTGCCTCCCAGCCCTACGGAGGAGGGGATTTCAGAACCGAGTCTCCGGGACCCTTTAAAGCAGAGGTTGTGCGTTCGTGTGAGCACGCGGCCCCCGGAGGTCACCTGGAGCTGCCAGGAGAGGCCCGGACGCACCCTGCCTGACTCACCGGTCCAGGTTGCTGGCTGGATGGGTCGCAGGCCAGCGAGACGAGATCTTTGAGCGGGTCCTGGGGGTTGAGATGAGGCGGATAGCGGATGGCCGTGTGGGGGAAGTAGGTGGAGGCCGTCTGGGGCAGGATGGATGTCGTGGGGAAATGCAGAGCAGAGGACGGGTGGGGGCTCCGGGCGATCCCTGCGGAGACAGTGGGAGGCGGGGGTTACGGGGGGGGGGGGCCCGGCCGGTCTGCTCTGTGACTGTGTGACTGAGGTTCCTGCCTGCATCTGAGTACGTTCATTTATTTATTTATTCTCCCTCCTCCTCAAGTGGGTTTAGTAATAATAGCACCAACAACCAAATAAACCCAGCAGCACCGACCACATTCCCCCCAAATTCCCCGGCTCCCACCTCAGCCCCAATGGGGCTGTGATATTCTCCTCGTGTTTCAGTTTTACAGAGGTAGGGGTTTTGCTATGTCTGCCAGGAGGGTCTCAAACTCCTGGGCTCAAGCGATCCTCCCTCCTCGGCCTCCCAAAGTGTTGGGATGACAGGTGTGAGCCCCTGAGCCCGGCTGGCCTTTTTTTTTTTTTTGAGACAGTCTCGCTCTGTCGCTGAAGCTAACGTTTAGTGGTGCGACCTCAGCTCACTGCAAACTCCACTCCTGGGTTCAAACGATTCTCCTGCCTCAGCCTCCCAAGTAGCTGGGATGACAGGTGCCTGCCACCACGCCCAGCTAATTTTTTTTATTTTAGTAGTGACGGGGTTTCACCATATCGGCCGGGCTGGTCTCGAACTCCCGACCTCAAGTGACCTGCCTGCCTTGGCCTTCCAAAGTGCTGGGATTACAGGTGTGAGCCACTGCGCCCGGCCCCGTCTTTTAACAGAGGATGACAGAGTGGCCTTCGGGGTATGTGCCACCTGTCCAGGGCCACACAGCATCAGTCGGCAGACCTCGCATCTGAATCCAGCCCATCTGGGCCCACGGCCTATATTATAAAGCTGGAGTTGGCAAGCTCTTTCTACAGATGGCTGAAGAGTGATTTTTTTTTTTTTTTTTTTGAGACAGAGTTTCCCTCTTGTTGCCCGGGCTACAGTCCAGTGGCGTGATCTTGGCTCACTGCAACCTCTGCCTTCCGGGTTCAAGTGATTCTCCTGCTCAGACTCCCGAGTAGGTGGGATTACAGGTGTGCGCCACCACACTAGGCTAATTTTGTATTTTTAGTAGAGACAGGATCTCTCCATGGTGGTCAGGCTGGTCTCGAACTACTCCTGACCTCAGGTGATCTGCCTGCCTCAGCCTCTCAAAGTGCTGGGATTTTAGGGGTGAGCCACTGAGCATGGCCTTTTCTTTTATTTTTTAAGAGATAGAATTTCACTTTGTCACCCAGCTGGAGTGGCATGATCATGGCTCACTGCAGCCTCAACCTCCTGACCTCAGGTGATCCTCCCACCTCAGCCTCCTGAGTAGCGGGGACTGCAGGCGTGCGCCACCACGCCTAGGTGATTTTTTGTATATTTAGTAGAGATGGGGTTTCATCAATTTGTCCAGGCTGGTCTCAAACTCCTGGACTCAAGCAATCCACCTGCCTCAGCCTCCCACAGTGCTGGGATGGCAGGCGTGAGCCACCGCACCTGGCCTAATGCCGTCCCCATCGGCAGTCATGCCTCACCCCTCCCCCAGCCCCGACACCCACACATCCCCTCCCTGTCTCTGCGGCTTGGCCTGTCCTGGACGCTTCATAGAAATGGGATCACACAGTGTGGCTTTTTGTGTCTGGCGCCTCCTGCTGAGCGGGACGTCCTCAAAGTGCGTCTGAGCTGTGGCCCGCGTCAGAGCCCCGCTCCTCTTCACGGCTGAGTAGTACTCCACTGCGATACCTGCCTTTTCCTTCTTCTGCCCAGTTCAGCCCGTGATTTTTAGTATTTTCACTATTTATAGCAGTCACTCCCCCGCCTCCCCAGCCTCTGGCTGGATAGTAAATATTTTTGGCTTTTGGCCATGTGGTCTCTGCTGTAGTTACTCAGCTCTGCCAAGGCAGGGTGGGAGCTGCCACAGGACATACACGAAGGCGTGCTCGTGGCTGCGTGCCAATAAAACTTTATTCGAAAGAAGAGGTGGCTGGAGGGCCGGTGTTTGCTGGCCCCTGGCCGTAATGACTGCTTTGATTTGGGTTTGCCTCTCTGTGTGCGTGGCTGTGTCCTTGTAAGGAACTAAATGATTTATCACTAGAACATGAGGTCGTAAGCAGTATTTGATGCTTCCTGCGATTCGCCCCCCTTAATCCCGATGGCAGCCACGGGAGGCGGGGAATTTTTGTTTTGCTTTCTTGAGATGAATATTGCCCCGTCTCCCAGGCTGGAGTACGATGGCGCGATCTCGGCTCACTGCAGCCCAGGCCACCCAGGTTCAAGCAATCCTCGTGCCTCAGCCTCCCGAGCAGCTGGGATTACAGGCGTGTGCCACCACCCCCAGCTAATGTTTGTATTTTAGTAGAGATGAGGTTTCACCATGTTGGCCAGACTGGTCTCGAACTCCTGACCTCAGGTGATCTAACTGCCTTGGCCTCCCAAAGTGCTGGGATTATAGGCGGGAGCCACTGCGCCTGGCCAAGGTGGAGCTGTCTTATCAGCCCCGGTTGACAGGTGGGGAAATGGACGGCTACTGTGTGACTGACCGGCTCAGCGCCCGACCTGTGGTTACCCAATGTCTATGTCTATCTGTGAGTGTGACCCTGTGGCCTGTCTGGGAGTCTCTCGTGTGACTTTTTCTTTTCTAGAGGCAGGGTCTTGCTGTCATACAGGTTGCAGGCAGTGACGAGATCATAGTTCACAACAGCCTCGAACTCCTGGCCTCAAGCAATCCTCCTGCTTCAGCCTCCCAGGTGGCTGGGACTACAGGTGCATGCCACCACAGCTGGCCTCTCTCAGGTGACTTCGGTGGGGCCCCCTCACCTCTGGGGATGCGTGAGGCCCTGGCCCCAGTCTGAGCATTGGCCTCACGGTCTGTGAAATGGGGGTGCAGCCTGACCCTCAGGGTTCTGGGGAGGCTGCCTACTGTGTGCTCAGCAGTAGGCTGTGGCCTCATTGGCAATTTCTTTTTTTTTTTTTTCTTTTTTTGACGAAGTCTCGCTCTGTCGCCCAGGCTGGAGTGCAGTGGCACGATCCTGGCTCACTGCAACCTCTGCTTCCTGGGCTCAATCGAATCTCCTGCCTCAGCCTCCCGAGTAGCTGGGATTACAGGCACATGCCACCACACCTGGCTAATTTTTGTATTTTTAGTAGAGATGGGGTTTCTCCATGTTGGCCAGGATGGTCTCAAACTCCTGACCTCAGATGATCCGCCCTCCTCGGCCTCCCAAAGGCATGAGCCACCGTGCCTGGCCTCACTGGCAGCTTCTGATCCTGTCTATCAGTCAGTGTCTAGGGTTGGAATGCAGGGATTGGATTGAGACGGGGGATGAGGAGAGTGAGGTGAAGGGTAAGCTCCAGGCTGCAGCCTCTCCTTATACAGAGGGGGAAACTGAGGCCCAACCTCTCGGCGGGGCTGGGACCAGGCCTCAGGCGCTCTCCACCATGGCACCTCTGTGTTTTTTATCCCACCTAGAAATCTACAGCAATGGGACTCATGGTCAGACATCCAGTGGGACTCCCGTGGCTGAGAGGCCTGATCGGAGGGCCCTGCCACCCCTCCCCGCCGGGGTCCCGTGGCGCTCACCGCTGTGTACGGCGATGACGGGCCGGTGGTGCTGGGTGAAGCTGGAGAGTCGGGGAGAGTCCTGGGGGGATGGGCTGTTGAACGGTGACTTGTCCATCTCTGTCTTCTTCACCGGGGATGAGATGCCTGTGGAGGGGAAGGGATGAGAGTCACAGACTGGTCACACCCAAGGAGCCCTTGATTTCCCCAAAGCCAGCCTCCAAAGGGGCAGGAAGCCCCATCACCCTGCCTCCTCTTCCCCTGGAATCTGCAGGGGGAGAGGCTGCGAGCTCATGACACAGAGGACTACACGGAGACTCAGAGCATAGAGCGGGTGGACCAGGGTGGCGTGACTGGGGGGATGGAGAGTCGGGTGCCAGTGCGTGTCCCGGGGTCTCACAGCCCGGCCCTCGCCTACTCTCCTTCCAGAGAAACAGGAAGGCTCAGGGCTCCCCCCATTACCTGGGGGCCATTTGAGCCCTAGGGAAGGCGGCGGGGAGGGCGGCAAGGGTCAGGTCGCAAGGCCAGTTAGACCCTGACCTGCAAAAGGTGCACAGATGAGCCCCCGCTCAGCTCAGCGGTCCCTCGTCCACAAAGGAGGAAGGAACAGAGCCTCCCTGGGGCTGAAGTGAGATGCAGCCACCCTCTGTGGTCACTGGCTGGAATCCCTCTGCAGACGGAGGCCTCACTACTTCCCATGCTGCCTGGAATACAAACCCTGACAGCTCCCAGCTCCGCCCCCACACCTTCCTCAGTGGAACAATGAATGAAGAAACAGGGGGAGGCCAGGCACGGTGGCTCACGCCTGCAATCCCAGAGCGCTGGGAGGTCGAGGCGGGCAGATCACTTGAGGCCAGGAGTTCAAGACCAGCCCGGCCAACATGGCGAAACCCCATCTCCACTAAAAATACAAAAATTAGGTGGGCTTGGTAGCGGGTGCCTGCAATCTCAGCTACTTGGGAGGCCGAGGCAGGAGAATCGCTTGAGCCTGGGAGGCGGAGGCTGCAGTGAGCCGAGATCGCGCCGCTACATTCCAGCCTGGGCAACGGTGTGAAACTGCATCTCAAACACAAAAAAATATTTGGGGAGCCGGGCGCAGTGGCTCACGCCTGTGATCCCAGCACTTTGGGAGGCCGAGGTGGGTGGATCACCTGAGGTCAGGAGTTCAAGACCAGCCTGGTCAACATGGTGAAACGCTGTCTCTACTAAAAATACAAAAACTAGCTGGGCGTGGTGGTGCACGCCAGCAATCCCAGCTACTCGGGAGGCTGAGGCAGGAGAATCACTTGAACCCGGGAGGCGGAGGGTGCAGCGGGCAGAGATCGCACCATCACACTCCAGCCTGGGCAACAAGAGCGAAACTGAAACTCTGTCTTAAAAACAAACAACTGATGGGTGGACTCAGGTGGGCTCACCCACTAGACATGGGTATCCTTCCCCGTCCACACGTCCCCCTGGAAGGCCCCTGGGTGTGGGGAAGCAGCTGCTCCAGGGTTCAAACCCCAGCTGGCCGCGGAGGCTGTGCTACCTGGGTGAGCCGCCGCGTCCACCCCTTTCCAGAAAACGGGATTCTGGGAAGCTCTGGAATTTCCACCGGGCGCGGTGTGGGAACGGCGCTTGTGAGGACTGGGCCTGGTTGCCTGTGTGGGTGAGGCCCGCAACCGTCCCGGATCCTTGGGCATCGGGCATTCTCCGAGGAAACGTCAACTGCCCCGCTCAAAGAATGTTACGGCAGGAGCCGCAGCTGCTGCTATTAGGGGTGAGTGGGGAGATGGCAGGGCGCCCCTTCACAGTCTCACCCCATCTTCAAAATGAAGCGGGAACACAGAGCCCCCGAGAGGGCCACTTTGGGTATTTCGAGGAGGCTGGGGTGGAGTCTGGCTCTGGAGCTGAAATGCCTGGGCCTCCCAGGGATGGGTGGTGCCTTTTTTTCCCTCTTTTTATTTTTGAGATGGAGTCTTGCTCTGTCGCTCAGGCTGGAGCGCAGTAGCGCGATCTCAGCTCACGCCGACCTCCGCTTCCTGGGTTCGAGCAATTCTCCTGCCTCAGTTTCCCGAGTAGCTGGGATTACAGGCTCCCACCAACGCGCCTAATTTTTCTATTTTTAGTACAGATGGGGTTTCACCATCTTGGCCAGGCTGGTCTCCAACTCCTGACCTCGTGATCCATCTGCCTCAGCCTCCCAAAGTGCTGGGATTACAGCATGAGCCACCATGCTTAGTCCTTTTTTTTTTTTTTGTCTCGCTCTGTGGCCCAGGCTGGAGTGCAGTGGCACGATCTCGGCTCACTGCAATCTCTGCCTCCCAGGTTCAAGTGATTTTCATGCCTCAGCCTCCCAGGTAGCTGGGATTACAGGCACGCACCACCAGCCCGGCTAATTTTTGTATTTTTAGTAGAGATGGGCTTCATCATGTTGGCCGGGCTGGTCTAGAACTCCTGGCCTCAAGTGATCCACCCACCTCAGCCTCCCAAAGTGTTGAGGTTACAGGCGTGAAGCACCGTGCCTGGCGAATTTATGTGTCACCAGGCTGCAGGGCAGAGGCGTGATCGTGGCTCACTGCAGCCTCAACCTTCTGGGCTTAATGGGCTTAAGTGATCCTCCCACCTCCGCCTCCCAGATAGTGGGACCACAGGCGTGCACCATCAGGCCCAGGTAATTTTTTTTTTCTTTTTTTTTTTTTAGAGATGGGGTCTTGCTATGTTGCCCAGGCTGGTCTCAAACTCCTGGGCTTAAGGGATCCTCCTATCTTGGTCTCTCAAAATGCTGGGATGACAGGCGTGAGCCACAGCACCTGGCCCCAGGGAAGCTTTTTCAAGTGAGGACTAAGGATCACATCTTGCCTGGACAACGCCGCGTCCTGGGCTCCACCGGAACCCTAGGAATGGAATCTCAGGGCGGTGTGCCCTGGAGAGCCACGTTTTTCGGAATGATTCTTAAGTTTCTTGTAAGGTAAAACATGGACCGAGACAGTCTAAACAAGGTGATAACTGAGCTTCCCTCTAACCTGGCACTTGGAGCACCTTCCCTCCAGGCTGTCTCAGGTCAGCCCTGTGGACACTGGGGCCGGATCGTTCTCTGGGGTGAGGCTGTCCTGGGCACTTGCAGGGTGCTGCGCAGCGTCCCTGCCGCCACCCACTCCAGGCCAGGGGCACCACCAGTTATAACAACCACAGATGTCCCCAGACATCACCGAAAGTACCCTGGGGCAGAATCACCCAGGGGAGACCCCCTGGGTTAGGGGATTCACAGACCCTCCAGGAGACTGTATCCCATGATCCTCTGCCCCGCTGAGGCCCCCGGAGGCTGCACTCACTGAAATCCACACCCTGAGTGGGAGGGAGAGAGGAACAGAGTTCCAGGAGCTGGGCCCCCCTGGTTTCCACTGTCCGCCTCATTGGGAGCTTCCAAATTATTTTCCAAATAATTCTCTGAGGATTTCTCAGTCTCAACACTGCTGATGTGCGGGGCCAGATCAGTCTCTGTAGGGAGCTGTCCTGGGCACTGCAGGGTGCTGAGCAGCGTCCCTGGCCTCCACCCACCCCATGCCAGGAGCACCCCTCAGTGGTGACAACCAGGAATGTCCCCACGTCACCTGGTGTCCCTGAGTGATGCCCTGATGAGAAACTGTGTGTCCCTGTGCCTTGGGTCCTCTGCTGATGGTTCCACAGGCACCTACAGGCATCTTGAGGCACTCGTCCCCGTTGCCAGCCTGTCCCCGCCACCTCTGTCCTCCCAGCATTGCTGCCTCCCTCCCCACATGGGGTCACCATGCAGGGAACCTCCGTTCTCTCTGATGGCTGCAGCCCAGGGGGTGCCCAGATCCTGGACCCAGCCACGGGGGATGTGCAGCTCCTCTGCTTTTTCGGTTATGGAACCAGCTGTCCCCATGGCTCTGCACACATCACGCTGTGTGGGAGCAAAGGTGTTGCCGGGACACATCCCAGAAGCAGGTCAGCAGGGCCGAGGCCCCGGGAACACCTGGCTCTGGAGGAGACCCAGGACACCCACACAGGGGACAGGAAGGGTGACGCCTCCACTCATGCCTGGCCTGTGAACACTCAGAGGGAACACTCGTGAGGCCCTGGCATGGAGGCAGAGCAGACCGGAGTGGCCCCACTACCCGGCAGGGTGCCAAGAAGTCTGTGGCCAAGCTGGGACCCAGCAGCCAGGCCCGGGAGTCTTCCACGGCAGGAGGATGTGGAAGGACTGAGGGTGGCCTGGAGCCAGGGAGGCCAGGCTGGTCCTGTCGGCACGTGTGTGCGTGTGTACGCCTGTGCGCGTGTGTGTATGCATGTGAGCATATGTGCACACCTGTGCAATGTGTGCATACGTGCGTGTATGCCTGTGCACGTGTCTATGTGAGTGTGTGCACATATGCATGCCTGTGTATGCCTGCACTTGTGTGCATGTGCACAGCTGCGTGCATGCCTGTACACATGTATGCCTGTGAGTGTATGTGCATGTGAGCACGTCTGTGCAATGTGTACATGCACGCATGTGTGTATGCCTACACAGCCATGTTTACACTTATGCATGTGTGCACGCCTATGCACATGTCCACGTATGTGTGCACATGCATGTGTATGGATGCGAAAACATGGATGCATGCGTATGCCGGCACATGCATGTTCATGTCTATCTGTACATGCTGGTGTATGCACATGTGCGAACATGCATGCGTATGTGTGCATGCCCGTGCACATGTGTGTGTGATTGTGCACACGTGTGTGCGCGTGTGTGGAGGGCTGGCAGCTCCCTGCAGGCACAGGGCCATGGCGGGCATGAGGTTAGGGGTTGTCAGATGCTCACTTAGGAGGATTTCCTAGAACAGCTTGTTCTGGATGAAAATAGTCTGCCCCAGACTCCACCCCTCGCCACCACATCCCTGCAGACACCACTAGAGCTTCCTGAGATGGGGCCTGCGGGAGCCAGGGCAGGGCAGGAGGAAGGGGGGCACAGCCCAGGCGCTAAGAGAATGAATAAGCCTGCGTGTTCCCGGCAGGCTCCGACTCCACACCCCACCTCAACGCTCCTCCATCTGTTCAGCAAGCATGCCTGGGACCCCCGTGGGGCCCCGCTGTCTGATGCACATGATGCCCGCCAGTCCCCCGTCCCGGCACACACCTCCCTGTTCAGCCAGCGGGCC